TCCTCTCAGCCTGGGAGGATGGCATGTATTTTTCATTCATACTGCAGTGCTACATTTTAAGCAATAAAATTACACCTTTACTGACAATTTAATTTCACAGGGTTTGGGACGTGGAGACATCCATCAGGGACTTTGTGTTTTCTTTTAGGGGAAGATAACTTGAACCATCTTTAATGGTGTTTCCCCCCATGCAAAGTGCAGTGATGACCACCATGCACCAAGTTTATAGCCCTTGCAGAGCTCACTTGCAGAATGCAGAAGCAAGATCCTTGTAATTAAGGAGCTACAAAGATGCTAATTATCATGATTTTGTGTTCTTTCACGTGCTGCTTGAAGTGGGGACTTGAGTTTTTAAAATATTTTTTTATGCTAATGCTTTATTTGATTCTTTTTTTTCCTAGAGATTTGCTAAGTGTCAAATGTAATGACTTCAGGTTGAAGCACAGCACTTCTAATGGATTGTGTGACCTTCCCACAACCTCCCTGAGCAGCACCGACGAAATTTCCAGGCAAGCTAATTAATACACTGGTACAGCACCAGGCTGGTGAGCCTCCAGCAGCTTAGCTCTCAGCTGAGAGGATGAAATCCTCCTGCCCTCCCCACACCCACATCTCTCTAACAATGATGGATTTGGGACCTAATCAGGCATTAAAACAGAGGATTAGCGAGCTGCAGGCCGCAGCGATCGCGGCTCGGCTTACAGGGCTTGCAGGGGACTGGCAGAAACTGCCAAGCATGCTCCCAGTGAATTAATGTCTGTGTACCTGAAAAACCTCCGTGGGCAGCAGAGACTTCATCTATAAATGTGGTGATTTTGAAAGATCAGCAGAAAAAGCAGCACAGAACAGCAGCTTAGTGGGAAATTTTAATAGAGGAGCAGGTATAGGTAGGTGGGCGTGAGGCATTGAATACAATCCAAGTGCGGTACCACACCCCACTGTCTTACACCTAAACAACCCCCTTCTTGAAGATGGGGCTTAGGTAGTGCAGGGCCCACTTTCCTGTGTCCAAAACAAGGAACCACAGGAGAAGGTACCACAGGAGAATACATGCTCCTAGTTTTTCTGCTTTGACTACGCTCAAAGCAAGAGAAATTGAAGTAGGAAAAGGAACACAGCATTAAGAGAAGCAGGAGCTGGAGGTTTCAGTGTGGCCTTGAAGGAATCTTCTGTGGCATCCAGGAACAGCACCCTGGAGCCACATCAAAGCACTGTCACCTCCCCAGGTCCCCCAGCATGGTGACAGAGTCCATGTGAGCTGTGTTGTGCTCTCATAGCAGCTGAGTGTCTGCTGTGCTCTCAGTGCAGTGTAATGGAACTTCAAGAGGATCCCCTTTATTCTCTGAAATCTGTTGCTGGCCAGTGCTCTCAGACAGCCATAACATCAGCAATCTCCTGCTTCTACCAGCACATTATCCTGCTACCCAGGAAACCTTTGTCCCTCTCCTGTCCTGCTCACTGGATAAAAAGCACCAGCACTTCCATCAGTGGCCCAAGCCTCAACTCTCTGGGTTTGCAGGAGGCTGAAGGCAGAAGAGAGAACAGTTGGCAAAGGGATAGCAAAACAAAAGATCTGATAAAATAATTGAGGGGCTCAGCAAGTGGGACTGACAACAGAAGGGAAAGCAGCTGAAGAGAGGAAAGGATTTCAAATCAGCAGTGTCACTGGTGGCAGAGTGGAAGGCAGGCAAATGCTGGCCAACAGGAAGGTGCTTGTGACACTTCCCTTTTTCATATAGGCATAAAACCTACTTTAGGATCTTGTGAGGGCTCTGAGAGTCCCACAAGACTGCTTTGAGAGTCTTCTTTCACCGCATGTGCTGTGTGAATTGCTGGAAGATCCTGAAGTGGTGCTGCCCACTGGATTTGGCAGATGATGTTTCCATCAAGTGCCAGGGTGGAACAGAGTTTCACTCCCTTTCTCCAGTTTGTGCTCCCCAAAATCCCTCTGAGAACCAGGGTAACTGTCAAAGCAAGTGTGAGCTTTGCTTTGGAGCCACAGTGATGGGCGAACACCCACGGAAAGGCAGCCACTGAACACAGGGCACTGATGCCTCTTGCACATCTTGCTTTTTCAGAGGTGGACTACAGCTCCCACGTATTTCACACCTGAGACAAGAAAAGTATGTAAAATACACCTTCCACCTGCTACACAGGGTATCACTTTCTTTATCTCTTCTGCACTGGCAGCCCACCAGTGAAGGGCTCCTGGGGGATGGATTGTGTGTGGTCAGCACACAAAGCAGGCGCTCCAATGCCTTTACAGAGTGGGGTGAGGAGGGGATTGATAACTTCCCCTGCTCAGGAGCACTGACAGATGTGCTGTGTGCAGGAGAGAGACAAGGGAGAGCTGCCATCTGCTGTTGGAAAAATCCTGGTTCGTCTCACAGCCCAGGCACTGCTGAGAGCTGCAGGTGGCTCCTTCCTCCCAGAGGCTCCCACCACGCTGGGATGGCACACAGGGCATTATTCCACAGGGAAAATGGGAATCCAAACCCTGCACTGGGGAGGGGAAAGGTGTGCCCCGAAGATCTGCTTTTCTCAGGTGTGAATCAGGAAGAAGAGGATGGATTCACCAACCTTTCCAACCATCCACAACAGCAGCAAAGCAAAGAGGGGAGAAGGTATGGCAAACCCTCTGTGCCTCCAGGAGGGACTTCAGTGGAAAAATCAAGCCCATCTTCAAATGCAAGCCACAGATAGTCAATTAGATCAGTGTTTAGACATGACCTCTGCAGTGGATTTTCAACAAGTTGAGCATTCTGTATTATTCTGAAAAATTGGTGACATCCTACATTCTAAATTCTGGGTACTCAGGATGAAAAAAACCCCAATCACTAACTGAAAAGGCAGCTCATTTATTGAAATGCCATTCTGAGTCATTCAAAATTATTTATTTGCTTCTGGAAACATGTTTGCTTCTATTTTCTAAGTGACATTTTATATCAGTTCAGATAAATGTATTATTTTTTACAAGAAAAGATATGCAAGTATTTAATACAAATTAAAGAAAATATTTCAGTCCTTTAATAGCAAGTTAATGTTGTTTAAAATTTCAATTAAGTAAGCCCAAGGAAATCTGAAAATTCTGCATACAAAGGTATCTCTTGCTTATATTTTTTTCCAAAAGAAAAAATGAATGAAGGAAAAAGCAATCCATAAAAAACCAATCCTGGTCATTTACAAGGGAGCCACACAATTCAGTAATCCAGGACCAGGTCTTTCATAAGCAAACACAAAATTGTAATACAGCAGCATGGTGCTGATTTGACCTGAAAGTAAACACTTTTCAGTTATTATGCTGAATTTTTTCATTGCAAATTGGTATTTTTCAAAAGGATAAAAAGAAAAATATAATAATTCTAGAGTACGTGTACTAAACTCTAATGATTTTCCAGCAGGAATGCTGAGAGGAACAGTAATAATAGTTAAAGATCAGTGTTCAGTCAATTCAGTTGTTTGCAGTGGTGAATTTTTGAGTAACGGTGTTCTGCTCTGGCAGATGCATACCTGTGTGTCTGAATATAAGCTTATAGTCCATGTCTGAAGCTTTTGACCTCTTTACCTTTTAAATAAGGACTGAGTTATTCAAAACAAAAATAAGCAAAAGTAATAAACCAAGCCCCCATGGTGATAGTTCAAAAAGAAAATATTGATTTAATGCAGTAATTATGCACAAGGCCTGGTCTGACAAAACTATAAAATTCTTTATTTCCCCCAAACAGATAACAGGAATTTTATCCCACTGTACTTCAGAGGGGAAAATTCTTAATCCAAGATTGGTGATGCTTGTAACATAACCCAGTGTCATTTAAGCAGGAGCTGGTGATCCAGCAGCAGCTGTCACACACTCAGCGGAGCCCAGAGGCTGAACTCAGATGGGGCAGGTGAAATCCCCTTTGCAGGACATCTCTACTTCACACTGACCCTTTTTGAAATGAAAACCTCCCCAAACCACACCAGTGCAGGTTTTTCTTGTGTCTGTGTGCGTTTTCAGCAGCATTTGCCTGGGAGCAGGAGGCAGCTTGGTTACACCCAGCAGATGCTGCAGCCGATTGCTCCCTGCAGGGACCCAGGGCTGGCAGCTGGGTTTTCCCAGGTGGGCTGTGAGCTGTGCTGGGGAGAGCAAACAGCAGCGTTGCCTGGCCAGCCCTTCAGAGTTCCTGATGCTACCCTGGCAAGAAGGAGCTGGAGTTTCCTTTTGTTCCCACATTCTGGTGTCAGAGGCCTGTGGCAGCTTCTGAAGGTGCCCAGCTCTGCCAGAGCTCCGCTGTGCTGCAGACACACCTTGAACCTGCAGGGTTTGCAGAACCCACACAGCCCACAGGGTGTTGGTGCCGATCAGCACCTGAATATCCCTGCAAAGGTGAGACAGGTGAGATGGGACATGTGAGATGGGACAGGTGAGATGGAGCTCCATGGGACAGGTGAGGTGGGACAGGTGAGATGGGACAGGTGAGGTGGAGCTCCATTGGACAGGTGAGATGGGACATGTGAGATGGGACAGGTGAGATGGAGCTCCATGGGACAGGTGAAATGGGACAGATGAAATAGAACAGGTGAAATGGATCTCCATGGGACAGGCGAGATGGGACAGGTGAGATGGAGCTCCATTGGACAGGTGACACAGGATAGGTGAGAGGGACAGGTGATATGGTTCAGGTGAGATGGGACAGGTGACACAGGACAGGTGAGTGCACCCCCGGGTGCTGAGCGCTGTGGAGGAGAGCATCACCTCAGCCTGTGTGCCGCCTCTTGGTGGCCTTTCCTTCGAGAAGACACAGGTGAAAGCATAAAGCCGAGCAAAACAATCTCAGTCCCTGCAAGAAAATGTTGATTTCCCTGGAACACCGAAGGGAGAGCCCTGGGTGCCCGCGGCCCCGGCGGTGTCGGCGCTCGGGCTGAGTCAGCCCCGCCGGGCCGGTCCGACATCCTGAGCTGCCGCGGGAGGGCAGGAACCGCTCCGGAGCAGAAAGAAAACACATTTAAAAAACCCTTACAGGCAGTTGCCAATAAAGTTTCTTTGGCTCTGCGTCTGGGCATGGCTCCCAAATCCAGCCTCTTGCCCTCGGATAAAGCACCAGAGCCTGGAATGAGAGTCAGATGCGTGGGAGGAGTGCATGTGTCTGTGTCTGGGCTGGAAAACATATGAACTGTAGTGCCTAGAAAAAGCTTTTTACTTTGGGCCTTGCTCCAGAAAACCTCTTTCCTTGCTTTTACAACTGTCCCCTGCTCCTTGGGACTGCCCAGATGTTTAACCCAGCCTGAGGACAGGGAGCTGAGGAGTTTTCTTGGTGTCATTCCCTCTGAGCCCCAGGCCTGGGAGCAGCCAGCCAGCTTGGGGATGGGATGGGATGGGATAATGGGATGGGATGGGATGGGATGGTCACCAGGCCATGGGGTGACCCATGTGCAGCACTGCACCCACAGCTTCTGCCTTTACCTGTCAGGAGGGGATCAGGCCTCAGCCTCAGCAGAGACACCCAAATACCTGGAGGGCAAAAGAAGAGAGGAAGAGGGTTGTTGTTGGTCTGTTCCTACTGTTTAATCCTGAGGTTCTGTTAATGAGTGGACTGTATCCTGATTTTTAAAATCTGTATCCTGGAACTTTCCAGCTATGTGGGAATTTTTAGCTAGTCTCAAATGAAAGGCGTCCAGGAACGACTACAATCAAACGGCGCTTCCTTAGCCTGCCAGGCTGCAGCAAGAAGCTGAGGGAGGAAAAAAAGAGCGAATACTTTTCTTTTTCACATCCCAGTTTGAACCCCGGCCTCCTCCGGGGCTGTAGCCCGGGGGATGCGGCTGCGAGCGAGGCCCGGTGGGAGCGGAGCGAGGGCGGACAGACTGACAGCGGTCACGGGGGATGCGCTGAGCCTCCTCCACGGGCAGGGAGGCACCGAGGGAGGGCTTGGCTGTCCCCGGGCGGTGCCGGCCCCGCCGCCCGCCCCGCACACCTCGGCCCGCCCCTGGCGGCCTGCGGGCGGCTGTGGAGAGGCTGCTCGGGGAGAGGCTGCTGTGGAGAGGCTGCTCCGTGCCTGCACAGGTGACACCCCCCTGCTTGCCCAGGTGCCATCTCCCTGCCCGCACCGGTGACATCTCCCTGCCCGCACCGGTGACATCTCCCTGCCCGCACTGGTGTCATCTCCCTGCCCGCACTGGTGTCACCTCCCTGCTTGCACCGGTGACATCTCCCTGCTTGTACAGGTGACACCTCCCTGCCCGCAGCGGTGACACCTCCCTGCCCGCAGCGGTGACATTTCCCTGCTTGCACAGGTGACACCTCCCTGGCCCGGTGACACCGCGGGAGGAGCAGCCGCCTCCCCGGGGCAGCGCCCGCGGCTCCGGGCGCGCATCCCCCGCCCTGTCGCTCCCGGACTCCAGCGTGTCCCTGGGGCAGGCCAGGGACCGGCCGCACCCCTGCTCCGTGCCCGGCCCGCCTCCGAAGGAAACCCGGGGACAAACACACATTCGGGTCTGTTAAACACCGCGGCAGGTCGGGAGAGGAGCGTTTAGTGAGTGCTCTTTAACCCGCCCCCCAAACCAGCTCGGGAAAATGCTTGAGGAGATGGGGTTAATCTAACACGGCCAATGCAGCACGGTCTGTATCGTTTAAGATGCCAAACTGAATTTATTAGATCTGCCTCAGTTACCTACATAGCTGGAAATCCTGTGTTTTTACAGGATTCTAGTTGTTGGGATGGGGCAGCCCATGCCGGCAGAAATAGCATTATTTCAGTTTGCATTATTTGAGTTTGCATTATTTGAGTTTACACGAGGTGGATGAAGTAGTCACAGAAAATATTTTTAAAGTGTTGGATGCTGACTGTAGTTATTTGAGTTTGTCTCCAGTGTGCTCAGTCAGTTCTGAGTTAATAATCCAGCGACTTCTGTTATGTATTTGCTGGGTATTGTTCACTAATTTAATGGCTTTCTTGTGGTCTGGGCAGATAGTTCTGTGTAAATTTTAAATAATTTTGCCTACAGCAATTTTCAGTGGATAATGCTGGAATGTGTTTATTTTAACGCAGGCATTCTTTCTCCTACCTTATCAGCTATCTTTATTCCTACACAGGCCTTATCACAGAGGTATTTATTTATAATCCTTTCTTTGCAGGCTTAATACTCTGCACAGAAAGTGAGGCCGAATAACTGCACATGCCGAGTGCTGGAGGAGAGGCTGAAGGACATCCTGTTTTCTTTCAGCAGTGCTGTTATTCTTTGGAGTGAAATGAAGAATTTGATTTTGTTTTGGAAACACTCATATTTCTGATGCAGCTGAACTTCAGTAACCTTTTTGCAGTACAGATTTCAACAAAATATTTTTCTCCTCTTGGACAAAGATGCAGAACTTGTCAGCGGTAGAAAGTCTTGGTGACGCAGACACACCACACTGTGAGCCTCCAAAAGACCTGGCAGCTGGGGCAGGTGGAGTGTCTTTCCATGGAAATGGCTGTAGCTGGAATGAAAGGACAAGCAATGAAGAAATTGTTAATTTTGAAGCAACGCAGCAAAGCCTCCCTGCAGCAAACAGCGAAGGGAGAAGTTGTGAAGAGTTTTCTGAGAGCAGCTTTAGTCCCTCAGAACCCAGCGGATCCTGGGGTGATTTTGAAGGCTTCACGGAGCCCTTAGACAAATCAGAGACATTCAGTGATAACCTTGAAGTTTTGGTGAGTTCAGCAATAACTCGTGGAGCTGATGTGGGGCTGAGCAGCGGCGGCTGCAGCATTTCCATTTCTGCTGCCCTCGCGTGTGCGGAGCCATCTCTGTGCCATGGCAAGCAGGAGGCTTCGGGCTCTCTCAGTGAGGTACGTGTGCACAGCAAGCCAAAAACCAGAAATGTTTGTGTTTCTGCTTCCCACACCTCCGGGTCTGTATCTGTCTTCTCTGTACAGGGTAATCTGCACATGCAGAGAAATTGTCCAGCCACGTCGCAGCCACCTCGAATGGAACAAAAGCAACTTCTGTGCAGTGTTTGACAAATACTTAAGCTGTGCTGCTGGAGAGCTTTAAAGAATGTAATGCACTATTTTGCTTCTAGGCACCAGGAATAAGTAGGCACATAGGCAGGGAAGCACATAGGCACCATGAACCTTGCCCTGAAGGACATGCAGTGTAAAATTTAGACAAGAAAGAGCATAAGAAACAACAAATGGGGAAGGTGGGTGACAAAAGCAGGGTGGACAGAAATTCTGTGAGTTGTCTCACAGAATTGAAGTATTACTTATTGAAGTAAACCCACATATCATTGAGTCAGAAATTGGCGAAACCAATGTATTTTTGTTATTTAGTATACTCCCTAAATAATATCAACAGTTTTTCTGGAATTTTAGTCTGATGGTGACACACAAGACTTATTAGTAGAAATAATATAATTCATATTTTAGCATAGGATATAACATTCACTCTTACAATGTTACAGCTAAAATTTTGAGTAGGTAATGCAATGAATTCTTATCAGCACAAAAAAAAATTCAGGTAAAGGGTTATATATTGTTGGGGATAAATGTGTTTCCATGTGGACCAAACATGCATCAGCAAAGGGAAGGAAAGTTACAAAAGGGCAGAAAGAACATATTAATACAGAACAAAATCTCCTTGTTCTTACTACTTTCATCCTAAATGACGACATTTGAAAAGAGAGAACAATCAGCTAAGACTTCCGTGGGGTTAATCTGTAGCTGTAGTAACTTACTGCTTGTAGTCTGTTGGGTGAATTTTAGTGTGCATAGGGAACTGAGACTTTCCTGGAGCCAGGATTTCATGCCCTTTGCCTAGGAATTTTACTTGTTGCAGAGCTGTTACTAGTAAAAACACAAAGATGCAGGTGGGAAAAGCTGCCCACACTGATTGAATGTAGATACACAAAATACCTGGTTATTGGTGTGCACAAACAGAGAATTCAAATGTTTTGTAATGCTGGAAGTGGCAGACAAGAACCCTTCTGTTGGAGAAAGAGAATGTTGTAATGACTGAAGCTGAAATGGAATATAGCAGGTTGCTTGGTTTCTGTCCAAAAGCAGTAGATCTTAATCTTACTTTTCTTTTTTTGCCTTTTCTTTACTTTGCATTTGTTAAAGGCAGAAGGAAATGTCCAGGACGAGTTAAATAAGTTAACCATGATTAGAGTTTCAAGTTGTCTTTTCTCATCTCAAGGTAGAGAAAGAACCACAGAGCTGCTGGATATTCCTTGGAGTGTAGATACATGTGTAGCTTGTCCTTTATCCTTGTGCTTTTTGAGTTGTTAGTTTGAGATCACAAAGCCTTTGGACTGGGACTCTGGCTTCTGTATGATCAATAGAAAAAAGGCCAGGTGGGTTGGAAGGGACCTCTAGAAATCATCTCAGGTCAGAGGTCTGACCTTGAGTATTTATTGCTTCAGTTAGTTAAATTACATCAGTTGGGATCAGAATCATGTGCTTTAAGATGGAAACAATCATTAATTTCCTTGCAGTAGCTGGGTATTCTGCCTACAGGATTGAACACTTCCAGGGTTTTTCATGTGCTCTTTAAGCACTGGCCTTTGAGAGAGGGACTGGTGCATGTGTTTAAGCCATGGGGTATTTTGATATAATAGGATATAGAGGATTTGTTCAGAAAGTACTGATGTGAACTTCGTACATTGATTTTTTTTCATAATCAGTACAAAGCCACAAGATAAATGGAAATATACCCAAACTTTGTTGCAGAAACACTCACCGAAATAGACAGTAGTAAAGGTGATAAAAAAATCTCTTGATCCGTCTTGGCTAAACTGTAAGTCAGTGACCTGTATGTGTGTTGGGGCAGCACCAGGGCTCCAGGGAGCTGCTGCAGCTGAGGCAGAGCTGTGCTGCCCTCAGTGCTTCCCTGGGGCTGTAACTCCCCCCATCCCAAAGCCAAGAGCAGCTGCCTGGCTTTTCCCTGACTCCCATCCCACTTCACTTTTGGTGCCTACCTGGAAGTTGTTTGGTTTTTTCCCTCACCATACCTGCCTTAGCAAATGTAACTTCACAGAGCTCTGCTTCTTGAGCATCCACCAGGATCCTCCATGTTGTATCCCTGTTTGTAAATAATTTACAAATTGATTGAAAGCATTGTGACACTTTGGGCAAGATTCAAAGGAATTTACCCAGGAGTGTCTGAATGTCCCAGCATTGAATCATCAGGAAGGATTTTAGCAAGGCCTTACTTAGGAGGGAGCAGCGTGGGGCACAGATTCTGTTCCTTGAAGCATGGTCAGAGGTGCAGAAGCTCTACCAGCTCTGTTGATTTTGCCCATTCATCCTTAGATTAAATCCATACTCTCTCAGTATTCACCCCACCTGACTGAGTTCAGTGTAATGACACTGTGGAAATATTTCAGCTGTTCAAATTACAATTAAATGAAACTACAAAAATATGGAGTATCCATGCTTAGGGTTTTCAGACTAAATTGTTGATTGCTGGGCAAAAACCCCAAACTGACTGGTTCCATTCTTGAACACACAGTGTTGCTGCTCCTGCATTGCAGTCCCTGGGCAGGGTGGTGAAGTCAATTAATTTGCTTTTATTTGGAAAATTGCAGTAATTCCTTGCTTGAAGGAATAAAAGGATACAGCTTCCAAAGCAGATGGCATGCCCCTAGGATAGGATGTAAATTATGCATGTTCTCCCTTGTATATGTATTTCTTGGTTGTCAGATAACCCCACTTGGTAGCGCTTACTTCCACTCAGCCTGTCTGGATCCCTCCTGTTCTGTGGCCATTCCTCCAAACCTGCTCATCACTGCTTGAGGAGGAACAAGGGTTTAAATCTGGCTCTGATTTTTATCATAGCCTGGAAAAAGTTTGGTGCAAAGCAAGGATATAGAAACATCCTCACCCCAGCTTTTTTGCAGACTTGCACAGTGCAAGTATTTATTGGTAACTGTAGCATTTGGCAGGTGTGTTACATTTGAATTAGGGGTGTTTGAACACTGAGTTGGCAAAAGAAGCTGTTGAATTGATACATCAGATTTGACCTGGACTGAATTAGCTGAGCAGAAGGAGGAATTCCAAGTGTTAAATATGCAAGTCTGTGACCAAGATGCTGGGAAGTTAAAGAGTAAGGATCATCAGAAGCTCTGGGACTCTTGCTTCCTCTAATTCTAAGTACTCAAAATACTCAAAACACTGAAATATGAGCTCAGTCCCTCTACTAGTAATAGTAATAGTAATAGTAATAGTAATAGTAATAGTAATAGTAATTCTAAAACCAAGAAGACAATCTCTAGAATTATTGCAGTCTTTGGACTAGGTCCTTCATGAGCTATAGGGATGGCTTGTATGATGTATGTAATAAAAATCTTTTTTTTTTTTTTTTCTAGGAAGACCACAGCTATGAGGAGATATTTAAGTTGGGCTTTCCAGAAGTCTTTGTGCCACAGTCCAGAGAGTGCATAAGAAGCTTAGAGCAAGTTCTTGATGCAAGTAATGAAGATGTTTGGATTCCTGAACTTTTGAAGAATCAACTCTGGTAATGAGTTTATATTAACAGTTAAAAAAAAAAAAAGGAAAGGAAAAGCTCCTCATCAATTGCAATGTTTCATAATTTAGAAATCAGTGGTGCACTTAAAAATCTTTTCAGTACTGTGCATTCAGTATAGATCTGACCAGTTTTGTAGTGCGTTGTTAAAGGAAGTGGATGGTGTCTTAGCCATTGGAAAACAATGAAGGGAATATATCAAAATTACAAATTCCTGCTTAGGGTTTTTCCTGCTGTTGGTGTGCCTCATTATGACTAAGCCTCTGGAATGCCAGAACCCAACAGGCAGCCTGTTCTTCCTGTTTGCTTGTCCTTTCTTTACAGCACATCCCACTTATTTCTTCATCACTGGAGGCTGCTGCTTCCACTAACAACTTGCTTTTTTTTCCTCCCCTCTCAGTTTTCCCAGTTGGTAACTTCTTCTCATGTTTAACCAGATGTGCTTCAGAATCTGTGCTGCATCTGGCTTTTTCCTGGGCTATGTTAATAGCAATTAGTATCATTAGCTAAGCTTTCTCCAGCAACAGCTGGAACACTTCTAGCTCTGTTCCATGTTTTTTAAGGATCAGCAGCTTCAGAGCAGTATTGTAGTTACTGAACAGCATTGCAGTTGTTTTTTCATAACTTGGAGGCTTTGTGTCTAGAAAGGACTGTCAGACCTACTTGAGAAATGTCCTAAGACTCAGAAGAAATGTAGGTAAAACTTTTAATGTGGGCACTCTTTCAGCCAAGTTCCCTGCATATGTGTTATATTTTAATCAGCATCAAACTTGTGGAGAAATATAATTGTAAAGAGGACTGCACTATTAGGTAAAAACAAAAATTTCTGAATCTGCTGTGATGGGTAACTAAGGTAAATGACAACTGCAAGTTAAGTAAAGCCCAGCTGAATTTTTATCTGTGATGAATGCAGTGTAAGGATGCAAAGAACCACATCAGGGGAGCTCTCTCCTCTCTGTTTCAGCAGTGAGTGCCTTTGCCTTGTTTTGTGGGACAGGTGAAGTGTCACCTGTGGGATGGAGAAAGCCTTGAGAGACAGAGAAGGCAAAGTGCAGAGCTGACAGGGCTGAACTCTGCCCACATTTCACAGAAACAGCTGAACACTGGGAGCCCTTGGCATGTGCCAGTCTCTGGGATGTGCTTCTCCTGCCCCTCTTATCTGAGGAGCACAAACAAACACTTCTGCTGACTTACTGCCCCCACTAATTGTCGTGCCAGCTCATTAGCGCCCTGGGCTGGCAGCTTGGACAACTGTAAAGGAGTTTTAAGACAATTTGCTTGTTAGGTGAAGGTTAGTTAACAGCTGTGTGTAGTGAAAATACCTGTTGCATGTGTTCACTGGAAACCTCAAAGTGTGTTTTGTTTCCTAGCATGGATTCTGGAAATGTATGGAGAGCACTCAGGGACTCTGATAACGCCCCCAGCTCAAGACATCCCTGGAGTAAATCCCATTGCCAAGAAAACCTCCTGAGCGTTCTCGGAGTAGATGCAAATCAAAAGGTAATTGAACAATGGTTTTCCATTCTGCTAGCATAAACACTGGGCTGGGAATCTGATCTTCTGTGAGCAGGACCTGCAGATGCAGGAGGGACCAGATCTGGGTGAGTCACAAGGTTGTTTTCTTTTTAACAGGGAACTTTTAAAGACAATAGCTTAGTGTTTTCTCACCTTCATGTGTAAGTAACTATAAACGTGCGCAGGATCACACTTTAATTGTCTTTAGTGAAGTCTGCCCAGCACAGTTCCCTGTTATTAGCTTTGGTAGAGAGGGAGAAGCAGCTTTCAGGTGGTAGAGATGGAGAATCAGCTCCCTGGTGTGTGGGCAGCAGGATTGTTTACTTTTTTTGCACAGAGTGAAAGGAAACTGTCAGCCTCTAATATCTGTATTCACTTTCTGTTAAGTGAAAATCAGATCTGAATCAGAGAGGCTGTTACAGTAATTGCTGGATGATTTTACTGTGAAGAAACTGAAAGTGTGTTCAGCCTCCCCTTTCCTCACATTATTCCTCTGTCTGGTTTTGTGAGGCTTGAGGGAGAGTATGTTTTAAATTGGATTGAAACCAAACCAGCAGTGTTGAAAGATCTCAAATAGAAATGTCTCTGTTTAACAATCTCTTGTTTTGAGAAGGTACAGGTGTCAGGGATGGTTTGGAATTCAATTTTTTAGCTGGGGTTCATTAGTCACACATAATTTTCAGAAGTAACTATTTCAATTGATTATTTGAATGCTGTGGCAATGGGGTTGGCAAAGTAATGATTTTAGGGGAGTATTTGACTTTTCATGCAAGTTATATGCAAACAGAAGGATGGTGCTGAAGGTGGAAACCTGTTTTGCACTTGAAAAAGTCACTTTGTAGAATTGTAATTTAACAGGGAGAAAATTGGAGACATTTCTCTAACATAGCTAAACTCCCATTCTGTTCCTTTCTTCAGGTAGCTTAAACTTGCATCATTCTTATCTATTTATGGAAAACTGTATTGCTTTTAACATTACTGATTAAGAGGCATTTCTCAGCAATGCTTTGGTGCTAATTAAGGCTAATACTAATTGGAAATGGTTTTTTATTAATTGAAGTCACAAATTCATGTGTGTAGGTGATGCCTTGAGGAGCTACCTGGAGCAGAGGCTAGACAGAGTTAGAGAATAAATTTGGTATTTATTGAAATGCTTTCAAAGGAAACTCCTTGGGCAGTGCAAAGCCTTGCAGAGGCTAAACCCAAGATTGACAACAGTCACCAGTTTTCTCAGATGGATATAAGTTTGGTCTGCTTGCATATCAGAGGTTAATTTTCCAATTTTGGTTTCAGGTAATGAAACCACATTCCCCCAGTTTGCTTCTCTCCCCAGTTTAATTTTGTTTATATTTTTTGGGCCTGAAGCTGTGTTGATGACCTTGTTTCTCAGGCCTAAAAGGATTGTTTAGTCTGACCAAAATGTGAAGAAAGCTTGCTAGCATTCTATACACAGCTCAGAGTTATGCATTAATGCAGTACAGAATCTGAAAAATACAAAAGCTGAAACATAAGGCATCATCTGTAGAACTATTTCTGGCATAAAATTGTTTTAATGCAAAGGGAAACATGATAAAATGCAGCTTCAGAAAGTAAAATCTAGTGGTTGTAATTTGAGGGAAACCTCTTTAAGTTGTATGCATTGAAATCAGAGAGAAATGCATAAACAAATTAATAAATAAAATGCAAATTATGTTTTTTAGGACGTTTCAGAGAACCAGGCTGATATTTTTGAAGATTCAAATGTCAAAGATAATGAGGACTTTGGATTTGATGGATTCAGTGTTAATGATTGCAAAGCATTGATCCAGACCAAGGTAAGGGTTGCTCTGGGAGTGAGAACTCCAGAGAACCACGGAGTGTGTTCAGCATGTTCAGCATGCTCCTCCCTGCTGTTCCAGCTCATGGTCTCATGGAATGGCTTGGTGCTGGTAAAACTTTTGGATGTGGAGTTGGATTTTGGTCTTTGAAACCTCTTTGACTTTTTCAGAAAGGATACCTTGGCACTTGTGTGTTTCTTGCTGTAGCAATGCAAGCTGGAAGGAAAATTGTGTCATTCTCCATTGCTATAAAACACCTCAGTCACCTCACTTTGTTTTTTAGCAAGGTATTTTGGAGGAATATACTCAACCCAAGGTCCCTTCCTCAGTGCAGAATAAAACTGAGCAGCTGTTGTGGAGACAGATAGTTTGAGACACATTTTCATTGCTCTGTTTTATTCTATTTACTGCCTTGGACAGTCAGGGTGTATAACTGGTCTGGGAACCTGGTACATAAGAAATGATAGACTGGACAATTCAGAAATAAAACTTAAAAGGACTGGACAGCTCATTCCTTCATAATTCAGTTCTGCTTTCTTCAGTGAGCACATGAGGGGGGGATCACAGTGCCAAATCACATTGGAAATGTGTAAAATACAGGCACAAGGTTTAGAAAAAAGAGAAGTGGTTTGAGGTAGACAAAGAAGGAATAAAAGAAAAAAGAACGGTGGTACAAAGTTAAAGTAAAATATTTTTCTGGGATAGCCTTGTAAGGGAAAGAACAAACCCTGCAGCTTGGTGTCTCAAAGAAAAATTAATTAAAAACCATATGTTGCTATTTCTAATTTGAAGTAAGTCAAATCTTACAATGGGATGTTTTCCATTTATCTTAATATTTATGTCCATTTTTTCCCTCTAAAAAAATTCAAATAAAATTTTAAATATTATTTTAATGAAAATTTATAAAAATTAGGCTAGCATATGCAAAGTGATTAACCTCCTATTGGATGGAAAAAATTAACTAAATTTTTCTTTTCACTCAGCTTTCTGTGTCACCGGACTGCAGACATGGTCACCTTTTCACCTGCAACCTCTTTTTGAAGACCACGTCATCAAATGAAAACACACAGTGTATAACAATCCCAAGGAAAAAGCAGATTTTTTCTACACACAACCTAAAAATGAAATTTTTCGGTAGTAATGTTTGTTGAACTAAATGCAATTTTTTTTCTTTTTTTTTTTTTGAACTGAATGCAGTTTACCTTCATTTTGTTACTGACTTGGTACTATAGACTACAGACATTCTTTAGCAAAGTGACAAATTGCTGTATTTGAGGGACATAAGGCCACATTATTAGAAAACATTTCTCCTGTTTAGTTGAGAAGTCAAATTTTGTAATTTTGCCCTGCTACATTTTGCTGCAGAGTCATGTCTCTTACAGTAAATGCTGCAGCTGCAACCAGGGTTGGAGATAACTCTGGTGGGCTCTCCTGAAATACTGACCTTCCAGGCCTTAATCTTCAATCAAAAACCTTCTTTCCCAAGTCTCAGGTGTGTTGTAATGTGCCTTGCCCCCATCTCTCCTCATACTGCTCCAGTGTGGATCAGCTGAGAGCTGTGGCTTTGCCACTGCTGGCTGTGACGAGAAGAGCCTTTCTTCATTTGGGGACTTTGAGTGGGGTTTAGAATAAAAGTGTTTTAATTTCTGTCTGGTGAAGCCTGCTGTGGTGACAGGGGTGTAGGCAGCAGAATGCTTCATTCTGGGATGGATTTCTGGCTGAAATAAATCACCCTTTGAAGCTTTTTGAAGCTGATTGTCACAGGACATGGATTCATCCAGCCACACTTACACCATGCACACCCTGCTTGTAAAAGCTCAGCAGTGGTGCAGTTCAGGATGTGAATAATGGTGTAAATTCCTGCCCTTTTAAGATTTTATGGAAACTTTCAAGTGTTGCCCATCTTCCTGCATGCCTGGGTGCCGCAGGGGATGCACTGCACTGTCACTCAGGAGAATCCCTGCTGGTTCCCTGCCAACTGCAACAGCTTCATTTATTCATTGGCAGTAACTTTTGCACAAGTTACTGATCTATTTGCTGCTCTGGCCATTCTGAATATGGAGATTTTATATGGATTTCTGTTTTAAAGAGATGATAAGCACGGCAGCTGATATTTTATGTGTTGAAAGCAGCGAACAAAGTTGGGTGTTCCAAAATGAAGTCAGTTAATTATTTAATGATGTGCATATTCTCTTCTTAGAATTAAGAATACTGTAAAGCACTGGCAGACTTCAACCCTCAATCTAGTAAACTGTTCAGCAGTGACTTCACAGTTGCTGTAATAACTTCAGTAATGCTGATGATACCTCGGTGCTATTAGCATGGGGTGAACTCTGTCCTGCTTACTCAGTAGATGGAGCAGGGCATTTGGAAAAATGCTCTTTAAAGTGGCTCTGCAGCTCCCCTGGCCCTGGAGGGAGTCCTGCAATGCCAAACTAGAAACTCCATCTATATACCAGAACAGGATTAACTTTTTCAGTTAACCCTGGATTTGAATTAATTTCCAGTTTCCCTTATATTCTTTCAGAGCTCATAAACATGTATTAAATAGGTTTAATTAGTAGTCATAAACTCACAAAATGTTAAATTGCCAGTAAATGGTGAATGAATAGTTGAGGTTAGTAAGAAACATTATTAAAATCAATTATAAGATTAAAATCCCATTTTTATGCCTTCAGACAAGCAGAGGCCTGCAGAGGGGCTTTAGGGGGCAACTTGTAGTGTGTAAAACATTCACTGATGCATCAGAGCCCTCTTTTCCTCTGGGCTTTCAACTCTGCCTTTGCTTTTGTGAGCACTGGATGAATGGATGGAAAACTGTTGGGCGCTGTTGCTCTGGGAGAAGGGTGAATACGTCATCTTCCCCCATATTAGCAGATTTTACAGCCCTGTCCAAGGTACAGAATGGGAAAAAAAGGGTTCAGCCCTTGTGATTCAGCAGGGAAATGAACTACTGGGGTTCCAAAGGTGCTGGGCTCCACCTTCCAGGACTTTTCCATTTGGGCAGGTGCTTTGGGCCAGCTGAGCCCTCCCTACCTGTCAGCACTGGCTGCATTAGACCACTGAGGGGCTTTGTAACTCCCATTCCCAGTCTGGAATAACGAATTCACCATTCCAGGGGAAAAGACTGGCAAAATTTGAATGGCAAAGTAATTCAATTCAGCTTCAAGGTTGGGCAGTTCTGGCAACCCTTCAGCCCCCATGGGAATTGGGACACAACTGGCACATTGGGGGTACCCACAAAGACAAAACTGGGCTCTCTCAAGTGACAAAAGATCAGGGACACAAACCAAAGAGTAGCAAAATATTTTCAGGCACATTTCATGGCACAAACACAGCCCTGCCTCCCGTGGCTCTCGGGGAAACGAGGGGTGCCGGAAGCGCCTCTGACGCGTTCAGCGCCAGCGGCGCCCGCTCACACCCTGAGTCACTTCCTGCTGTCCCTCTGCTGTCCCTGCCGCTGTCCCTGCTGCTGTCCCTCTGCTGTCCCTGCCGCTGTCACTGCTGCTGTCACTGCTGTCCCTCTGCTGTCACTGCTGCTGTCACTGCTGCTGTCCCTGCTGCTGTCCCTCTGCTGTCCCTGCTGCTGTCCCTGCCGCTGTCCCTGCCGCTGTCCCTCTGCTGTCACTGCTGCTGTCCCTGCCGCTGTCACTGCTGCTGTCCCTGCTGCTGTCACTGCCGCTGTCCCTGCTGCTGTCCCTGCTGCTGTCACTGCTGCTGTCCCTGCTGCTGTCCCTCTGCTGTCCCTGCTGTCCCTGCTGCTGTCACTGCCGCTGTCCCTCTGCTGTCCCTGCTGCTGTCCCTCTGCTGTCCCTGCTGCTGTCCCTGCTGCTGTCCCTGCCGCTGTCCCTGCTTCTGGCCTGGCAGCCTGCCCGGGTGCCAGCACACTGTGTCACCAAGGGCCAGCACTGCCTGTGTCACCAAGAGCCAGCACTGTCTGTGTCCCCAAAGGGCCAGCACTGCCTGTGTCCCCAAAGGCCAGCACACACCGTGTCACCAAAGGGACAGCATAGGCTGTGTCCCCAGAGTGCCAGCACACGCCGTGTCCCCAAAGGCCAGCACACACCGTGTCCCCAAAGGTGCCAGCACACACTGTGTCCCCAGAGTGCCAGCACACACCGTGTCCCAAAGTGCCAGCACACACTGTGTCCCCAAAGGGGACACCAGGGGCACCCGATGTCTGTGCTCTGGAAATGGCATGCAGAGTTAATATCACTTTGTACCTCGGCACATTTAAAGCTCCAAATTTCACCATTTCTAACCTGAGTTCTGAGCTCTGAGCTGTGACATCCCGAGTTCTGATGAACTGAACGTGTCACTGTACTCTGTGTTTGTGGAAAGCAAACACTGCAGGCTCCTGACATTTGCTTAGGATTTTAAAAAGGTGACAATGAGAGGAGTTCTGGGCAGGAATGCCTCTTTCTTCTGCTGGGATTAGAGGGAAAATATACCCACAGAACAAAGTTTTCCGAAGTTCCAATCAGCAGTGTAATTACTGAAATTACAAATTCCTTTGTGGAAGGAATGCTGCAAACATTCTTCAGAAAAAAACCCCTCAAACCAACTTCATTGTAGTTCAAAGACTCATCAAAGACTGAAAATTTTTCAATGCATATTCTAAAAGGTGGAATTTAATTAGTTATAATATTTTTTTAAAAAGTCAAGAAAAAGAGGGGGAACAGTCAGACTCCAGAATGATTTCTAACCATACTGTAAGCCCACCATTAGTTGCATATGCAGAAGATGGAGTGAAAACAAATTAAAAAAATAAATCTTGTAAAGATTTTTTTTTTCAAAATGCAAGGTTATTGCAGGATTTAAAAGCACTCTAGTGACAATGAAGATCAGCTTTAATAGTTTAAAAATGGGACTTCCTGGATTATGCCTACCCCAGTTAAGCCAGCAAAAGGAATTTGGCTAAAACTGAGCTACTTGCAAACTAATTGTGAACTCCCAAACTTCCCTGTGGATCCAAGTCTAAGTTTCCAGATCCACTCTGGAAGATTCAAAAGAGAAGAAGTTTTTGCTCCTTCTACTGAAATATGTCTGGGAAGCTCCTAAATTGCCTCCCACAGCACAGCTTGGATGCCAGAGCACAGCCAGCCTGGCTTAGAGCTCTGCTGGGTGGGATAAGCAGGCCCTGACGAGGGAAAAATGTATGGAATGAAGTTGCAACATTTTTTGCTTTTTTCAATCAAGGCGAGATGCCTGTGAATGCTGGGCAAATCCTGAAATGCCAAAAATCCTCCAGCTTCCCCAAACTTCTACTTTTTCTACAGACACACTTCAGGGCTTAATGCCTCATTTCTAACACTGATTTTGAGCAGCTCAAAATTAGTTTTGCTGCTAATTTATAACTCATCTTCCTAACAGAACTAATGGGTAAGCTATTTAATTTTGTGTATTTTATTGTTGATTGTGCTGGAAAATTAGTTTTTTAAAGTGTGCCTTCCAGCAGACAGATCACAGAGCTGGACAGAGCACATGGGCAGCACCCAGCCCTGCCCAGCAGCTCTGCCCTGAGCTGTGCTGCTCTGAATGCCATAAGTTCAGATCTTTCAGCGTGGCTAAAATCAATGTACGAAAGCCTACACCACTGAAAGCCCCACAAATATTTTTCTTAAAGCACTGAACTGCAGCACACCCTTGAAAGGCAGCGTTTTCTGCTGCCACAGGCACAGGCTGAGCTCTGTGGCGCAGCATCCACGGCAGCTTCCTCAGGAATGAGTCACTCCAGGAGCTGATGGCACTGGTGGGCACAGCACTGGATTTGTGAGCAGCTCCTTCTACACCTGGGCTTTGCACACTGTGGTCAGCAGCTCCATGGCAAGGGGAAGGGGAATTCTGTAAGCAGCACCCAGGGCAGTCTCATCAGTGAAAGTGATGCCTCAATCTATATGATGATATAAACCTTTATTCCCTTAAAATGGAGGGAGCTTGATGTAATTCTTGGCATGGCTCATAAAGAGGTTCGTCTCTAAACACTTAAAAATGAGGGGAAGTGGTGATTCTGCTTCAATTCAAACCTTAAAAGTTCATTGCAGAAGGGTCAGGATCTCAGAGGTCTACAATAGGAAGAGGGTAGAGGAGGAGTTTTTTAGAGGAAAAGTCAGAACCTGGAGCTGCTGGTTTGATTTTACAAGCAGCCCTTCACCAGCCCAGAGAGGCAGGGCTTTGGTCCAGCCTGAAGAGCCACCACTGTGTGTGTCAAGGACACCTGTATGTGACACTTGCTCTGAGGCACAGCAGCCCCTGAAGGGACACAAGAGCTGCAGGGGCTGGGGACCCTCACAGGGCGCTGGAGACAGAGCCCAGAGGACAGCTCAGTGCCAAAACCCTGTGTCACCTGTTCCCAACAGGAATCCCCTGCCCCACCAGCTGGAAAATGCCCTGTAGGCCATCCCTGCTTCGGTGACAAACCCCTTTGTGAGGGTGTAGTGCTTTTCAGTGAAAACTTAAGAGCCAGAGCAAAGCTGCAGCTTAGGTATCAATAGCTGAAGAAGAGAAAATCTATGGATTGTGGTCACTGAGTTAACAATATTAGAAGATTCCAAATTCCAAACTGGGAGGATGAGATGCTGTGTAAGACAAGGACCACTGAGCAATGGAGGAGCAAACACCACAAAGACCCCCAGACTTTATTATTATTATTAATCTGAATTATTACTGTTATATATATACTGTTATATTACTTACTGCCCAGGAATTGCAGTGTTCACAGTCCCTCTTTGGAGGCACCCAGCTCAAGCTGTGGTGCTTCCCTAAAGGAATCCATCCTTCAGGGTATGTGGAAACCTCATGTGGAACCTCATCCCTCCCCTGTTATGGGGCCTGGGATGGGTAATTATTTCTGTACAGGTTTGTAAGGTGTTTATTATTTCTAGGGACAAAGGATGGGGGAGAGGAGGAATATGGAGAAGGAAAAAAGATTCAAATGCCTTGGAAAAATGTTATGTCTTTGTGAGTGAAAGACCAAAGAAAAGGTGGCAGGGTGCCATAGATTTTTTTATGCTTTGTTTTTAAAACAGTCACATACCAAAGGCTCCAAAGTATAACTGGTTTAAATGCAAAACTGTGGCTTTTATTTCCAAACATACAATAAATAGGTCCACCACAACTAGCCTCTAACTTCATTTTACATGGAAGGATTTTAAAATTAATTTGTGCATATTTAAAAATTAAACTTCCCTTTGCACATAATTCCAAACATAACCGAACTGCATTACACACCAGCTCATGGTCTTGGCACTGTGACACAAGCAACCAATTAGAAACAGAGCTCTGTAGCCAGGACTTGTACAAAAATTGCATTTTGAATTGTTGATAAAAGATCTACCAACAATTAAATCTTTTGCTGCAGTATACAAAAAACTTTAGTACATAAATGTTGAAAAGCAAGTTGTCTTCTCTTCCATTTCTGTAGAGACTGCAAGGTAAGTGGATTTATTAAGTGATCACTATTTGCTATATGATACAATTTTCATACCAAAATATCTTTACTGCATAGTAACATTCCATATTTCCAAATGCAAAAAGAGATTAGATGCAGTCTTTTTATTTTATCCCTCACCACTGAATTTAAAGACATTTTTAACCGCATCTCTGTTTCATCACAGTGCAGAAGGCCCTTAATATTTCAAGGATTTATTCAGTCATATTTTTAATACAAAAGTAGAGGCTGAGGAAAAGCCAGAGTAGTCTATACACAATGCACAATCTGTGTACATTCTGAAGCTGTACCTCTTCAAGAACTAGTTATACACCCTTCAAACAAATCCCTTTATCCAGCAATTCAAAATGCTTTAGATCAGAAGTTTTATATTAGAATCAATACAATATATGCATATAAATACATTTACACCCTTCAGTTGCTGAACAACCCAGATGGCTGCGAGGATGTGGCCTGAAATGGTTCTCCATTGGCCTGGGATACCAAATTCTGTCGGCAGCTAACTGTTAACCAGGAGAGTCACAGTAAAAAATGGAGATCTCTGCACAAGGCAGGTGTGCCACAGCATCAGTTAAGACTAGAAATACCAGGTGACACCCTGGCCCCTTCAACAGGGCCAGGATTTCAACTTCTGTGAGATGCAACACACAGGCAACATTTTTTCCCCTCTGCCGACACTCCGCTCATAAAAAGCCTCAGCAGAACAACAAAACCCCAAAAAATACAACAAACCAAAGAAAAGGTTTTACAACTGCAAGTTTCCAAGACAGGTGCTGCAGCTTTCAAAAACAAAGAAAAGTTTTATAATTAAAAAAAAAGAAGGAAAAAATAAAAACAAAATCCAAACCAAAAAGCAATGTGCAAGTGTGAAACTCAGAAGACGATAGCAGGGATCGATCTAGCCCTCGGTCCAGGCTGAAACACAGAACCCAAACTGCCTGATGGAAAACCAGATAAAGCCCAGAGCCCCCAGCACTGGGTGGGTCCCCAGGGCTGTCCCAGCACAGGGTGATGTGTTCTCAGTGCTCTCAGCTTGGCTTCTCAAAGGATGCAGAAATGTTGGCTGAGTGAGTATCCTCCAAAGGTGCTAGAGGTTTTAAGTTTGAAGCGTTTCTTCCCACCAATGCCAGGTATAAAAATGTGTATCTCTTTAAATAATATTGCACATAAAAAAATCATCTTAAAATCTGTAGTGAAAGCAGGGTTGAAGGACAGTGTTTTCCAAAAGAGAATAAAAAGCTACCTGTACATAGTAAATTTTAATTTAAAGAACGCCAAGATTATTCAAAATCTAAGCACATAATACTGACAGAAAAATGTTAAATTGCACAATCTACATATAAATTAATTTGTAAATACTTAAAAGTTTTTAAACATTGAATACCCTTGATTTCACAAATCAGCTAGGTCACTGTCAAAGGATCAACTTAATGAGTTAGAAGTACTTTCCCCCAGAAAGAAACAGAAACAAAAAGATCTGCAGTCTCAGATGAAGCACTGGAAAGAGTTAAAGCATTTCAGCTCAGAGGTAGTGCTAAACACATCCAACTAGAAGTCCATTATATTTGAACTATGATGAAATAACGTAGTAAAATGTAGAAAGACTATAAAATTTACAAAAATAAATAGTTCTGAATGCTTTAGAAAATGCAAGAGACTTTGTTGGTAAGTGTCTTGATCTGCTTTTCTGACCAAAAGAAAGCAAAGCGTGTCTCATTTTTAAAATATACCCATCTCTAAGAACGTGTCTGCAATCCACACAATCTAACTCTGCAACTTGACAGATGCCAGCTTGGCATAGACTCTGATATTAAAAATAAAGTGGAGGCTTTGTAAAAGATCACCTCATATGAAATTTGCTTTGCATGTAAATTCTTCTGTCAAATTAAAAATTGCACATAAAAAAGTTTATTGAAAGAGGCATGAGGGGTGATGAGGGTATGTGCCCATTGTTCCACATACACCCTGGAAGGAAAATGATGATTGCACAGTTCTGATAAATAATTTTTTCTTTTTTAAAATCTGCCACTTTTTTGGTTTATGAGTTTTGGAATTATTTAGAAAATTCTACTATGGACAAATTATTATTTAGTTTGCTTTTAAAAGAATTCTTTACAACTATTCCAGTGGCTTTTATCCTGAAACCAAATGCAAGTGGCAGTCTAAAAGTATCTTTGGGTAAAACAAGTATCAGGATCCAACGAGAATTTCCATGATGTGGTCCAACTCACTCAGATCTGTTCTGCATATCTGAATGTTGTTTGCTGAAGAAGAATTACAAGATGGGAAGGTTTTCAATGGTTCTTCTGTAGCAAGAGATGGTGATCTGGGCGGCATCAGGGGAGGGCAGCAAAAGTCTGAGTCATACATTGAAGTGTCAATATCTTCAAAAATGTCATCTATTGCCAAATCCTTCAAGTAACTGGTTGAATTTGAAATCTCAAAGGAACCAAACACACACTCAGCTCCCTTCAAATCCTGCCTGTCATCTTCTAGTTTCAGACCAGTATTTTCTGGAAACTTTGGCTGGTCGTCTCCAGTAGGAACCAGACAAGTAGGTGGGCTGATATCTTCTACAAAGTCCAAATCCTTCAGAATAGATGAAATAGCAGATGACATGTCATCATCTGACACGATGAGCAGGCTGCTCTCAATGGGGTCCTCCACGGAGCGCAGCTCACAGCAGTGGGACTCCTGCTGACCAACACCTGCGGGCAGCTGCAGGGAGATGCCAGGGGCCTCCATCCCTGGGTAGCTGTGAGCAGCAGGAGCAATGCCAGGGCAGATGCTCACTGGCTGCTGGCTGCTCTCCTGCCTCATCTCCTCCTGGATCTGGCGCACGGTGTTGGCGATGAGCACGGAGCGGTGCAGGTTGGGCTCCACCAGCATTTTGTACGTCTGTAGCTTGGTGAGGCACATGTTGAGCACCAGCTGCCTCTTGAGGGGGTAGGACAGACCTCGGCTGGAGTCAAAGGCACTCGAGAGACCAGCCATGCTCTCCTCATAGTCACTCAGCTTGCGCTTTAGGCCTCTCCCCAACATGAACCTGCAAGACAAAAATCCTGAGTTAACCTTGGGCAGGCCCAACAGACAATTCTGAAAACCCTCTAGTGTACAATGTACTGGTTAGCTGAGACTTTTGATGTCACAGAACATCAAGAGGTAGAAGGAAATCCTACACAATAGTACTTCCACTGAAAAGATGCACTTTCCAGCTATATTGTTTCATGGCAACTTTCTTCCTAAACACAAAACGTGGAAGAAATATACTAACCCTTTTTTTATAAAGCTATATACTTCTAAGTATATCTGACTGTCCACATGAAATAAAATAGATGCTTGTATTAAGGATCAAACTAGAGAATATTTCATAATTTCTATGTTAAAGTTCATTCTTGGGTACAGCAGGTAAGATTTCAAGCTAGTTTTCAACACCCATTTTGATCTCATTAAGCCATTCTAATGTCTTGCTCTAACATCTCTGAGAACATACACAGAACATACATACATACAGAACTATGTAGGGCTGATTCTTCTCTTTTTTTCTTTGGTGACCCAAAATTGTTTTCCAGCAAGACCAACATCAGGGCCTCCCATGGGATCCTTATATCCATTCCACATCTTGATTGTTGGGTTAAATGTGGGAGGAAATCTGGCTGGGCCACTGAGCTCACAGAGACACAATGGGCTCACAACTTGCTACTGACTTCACACTAAGAACATCAGGCAGGAAGAACATCAGAACATCAAACAGCATTTTAAAAGTGACCAATTTTGGGAAGGGAAAAAAATAGAACTTAGTTGCTTTCATTCTGCTTTGTGTGCTCTTGCACTGAAATACAGTAAGTCTAGAACAATGTGGTACAAAACCCTGTACACACAGATCTAAAATCCAAACAAATACCTGCTTGGGTACTTTGCAATTACCATCCCAAGTCTAAAGAGTTTTATTAGGGACAACAAGCCCTATGCAATCACTCATATAAACACAGAAAAGGAGTGTACTCTGCACAGAAAACACTGGTAAAATCTTAGTTACACACATCCTGAAGTGTCCATGAATACAGACACCTTGTTCCTAAACTATTAAAAAAAAATAGGCAATCATAAATTAGACACCAGTGGCAGATTAAGGGCAGATCTTTCATGCACAATGATCCAGACCCTGCATGCTGCCGAGGGCCTCCCAACTTCCTTTCCATGTGAGCACTGGGTGCTGCCAGCAACAGCTCAGCTGATGGCTGCAGCTGCCAGCTGCTCCTCTTGCTGGACTTTTGGGGACAAGGAAAAGGCAGCAGGAGAAAGCCTCTTTTACTTTCAGGGTTTCTCCAGATCTGCAGGGCTCCATGGCCACGTCCATCTGCCCAGACAAGGCTTTGGAGAACTCAGCTCCTCTGGAGGAACAGAAAGCAAGCAAGCCGTGCATCCTCCTCAGCAAGACACACAAGAGACAACAGCTGCTACAGGACTTCAGGTGTCACACTTCTCAATAGTAAACACCTTCTGCTCTTTTAAGGACATATCTGGATAAAATTCAACTTGTCCTAGGACTGCATTTTTACTTAGTAGGGAGTAGCCTGGTCGATCTTCAACACAGTCACTCTTGAAACACCAACAAACTTTAATTACTTGCAATCTTACCACCTCTGCAACTTTTTAACTTTGGAACTCTGATTTTCTCCAAAGTTTTCTGCTGAAGCGCCACAGCACGAGCTGAATCTCTCTGAAAACCAGAAGGTGTCTGGAAGTGGTGTACCTGTTCACCTGGGTCATGATCCCACACTGATCATGTAGCCCTCTCCCACTCCAGCACTCCATTAAGAGCAAACAGACTCAGCCAGTACTGAGCGCTCCATTACAACAAAATCAGAACAAATATGGGTACAAAGTTCAGGCAGAAAATATAAAAGCATTCTGGGGAGGCAATGTGTGTGTGTGAAGGATCCTCAAACTACTGACAACACTGTCAGTAACTGCTAATTTTTGACACAATCTATGGAAAATCACATTTATGTGGTACAAGTAGACTACAGCTAAATATACCGACTGTCGTAGTGGAAACAATTTATGCAAATCATAAACTCACAATAAAATTCAGAACTCTCCATTCAAGTAGCATTTAAATGTTGTGTACTACCTCAAGCATTACCTCACAGCATCACTGTAAGAACAAAAGTTATGCAACAAAACAGCTCTTCATTCACTAAGCACCATCATTCCCATACACTGCACACCAGCGGGGTTTGTTTGTTTTTCTCTCAATTAATTAAACAGACCAAAATTTACACCCATAAGGGAATGAAGATATGACCACACAGGAAACAGCAATTCTGACATATCACACATTCAGAATGCTTGGTTTTGATAATTTACTGCTCTTAATATGTTTTTAAAATACACATTTATACTTTGTTAGACACACAGGACATACTATTCTTATCTCTTCGATTTATAAAAATGATGTTAATTCCTAACATCTCAAAAATGTGCTAGTATTTAAATTCTGTAGGCAAGCTTAAAGAGCAAGCAGACTATGATATGCAAGGATGTATAATTTCACAGAAACAACTTAATATCACGTTTTACTTTTCAATTCAAACAGTAGTCTTGTTAGACTAAATACTTCATGCTCGTATAGGCAGACACCCCCTTTTTAATTCCACAAATTTCCTTCATAAAATTTGTCCCAGAGCATTTTACAAACATGAAACAATGCTTGAGTACAACAGCACTTGACTATGAAAATGAAGTGCAAGAAACACTATTTGCTCCAACTTCAAAATGTTTCTACTTAACATACTCCCCACTCCCAAGATGTGCTTTTAAAATAAACAAACATAGTACTACCTTACATTTTAGAAATTCTGCCTAACACTGATTTATTTCCTAACAGGAAGGATCCTCTACTCTCCCATCCAGGAGCAAGATGACTTCAGAGGTTACACAAAAATTTGTAAAAGGCAAATAAAAACCAGAGTACCATTGGTACAGTGGATTTAAAAATTACTAGTGTCATGGTTGCTACAGGAGACATTAAATTTCAGTTCTTGTCAAACACACTCAGCTGCTGACCTACAAAAGACACAAAGCCCCTTTGTTAGCAGCTAATCTACATTTTATCAGGCCTTTTGCTTTACTTTCTAACACAAGAATTTCTGATGGGATCAGATCCTTAACACACTTCTGTGTATTTTCTAAGTACCGTGTTCTGCTGTAGCACTGCCATTGACACCTCATCCCAAACCCAAAATTCACAAGTCAGGCGCTCTCTTTCACAGCATTACTTTGCAGCAGAAGATGCTGATGGCATTGTTTAATTATGCAATGCTTATCCCACTTCAGTTTTGGTGGTGAGGCAAACAAGCAGCCGTGCACACACAAACCCCCAGGTGCCTGATCAGAGAGGAGCAGTGTCAGCCCTTCCATCAGCTCAGAGCAGCACAATCTGGGCACACCAAAGCAAAGTCTTCAAAAACTGCACTCTCCTCACTCCAGCCTAATTCCAGGAACCTACTCACATCTCAAACAATTGGGTCAACTAACAGGATTTTGGGATGTGCCAATCTGATAACTCTGTGATTTGTAAGTAAATAAACGAAATAAAAATGAAAAGTTTATGCCAACTTCAAATGTAAGGTACTCACATAGCTGTTCAATTATAAAAGCAGCAAGCTCTGAATCACCCTCTTCTTGAAAAAGTTCCACAACAATTTTTTTTTCTGTCGCAACAATTTTTTTTCTCTTCAGATGATCTATTTTAAAATCTTTTGTCATGAAAAACACAGAAACAATAAGGAGCAACACATCTCAACTTTCTTCCTGGCATCCTCTCATCCTCTCCCATTATAGCAATGCAAACTGAGCTACAGCCCGTTTATGGCAGAATGCTTTTTTAATGAAAATAATTTTTCAGATACAGAGAAAAGGAAGCAAAGTGAACTCAGTATTTGGGAGTACCAAACTCTCTATTCACATCACTGAACTACAATGGAGTCTACACAGAAATTCAGCATGTTCCTCAGTTCCTTCCAGTCCTCCATGGAGGACATTTCATTGCAACTCCTCCCTGCTAAGATGGGAAGAAGCATCCAAGCACTGTAATCCTACACCAAACCAGGCTTTGAAAAAACCTGGGAGGGAGGAATCACGTCCCTGGTTGGCAAATCCACACAACACCAAACAAACAGGCCTGGTCAGGGTGCAGCTACTCAGGAGAAACATTCCAGGCTACCAAGAAAAACTCACATTGCAACGTGCTGTGGACAATGCAGGGCCCGTGCCACCATTTCAGCTCCATCTGTCACACGGCCTGACAGTGCAGCTGCCACTGACACATGGCTGAAGTACAGCTGGGAACACGCTCAAGGAATAAAGCAACATGTGAAAACCCTCAATTACTTATAGCTGGGCAAACTACTACTTAAAAACTTTTTTGGAATATGAGGGAGAACTAAAAAGTTGAACAATGTTTAGAACTTAGGACCTCACAGAGCTTTAATTTTCAGTAGGGAAGAGCTTAAAAATGAGAGTATGAAACACAAGTGCCACGGTTAGTATTGTCTGAACACAAACTTCTCATGCACTGTATTAAACTACACAACAGTTATTTATTTACCACTAAATATGTTTAAATAGCAAGATCATCAATAAAGTATCTGGCCTTGTACCTGGCCTTTATGATCCAGGTAAAGATAACTGAATTCATAGTGGTACCTTATGGCTTTTCTTTTTAGAGTATTATTAAATTCAAACTTGCTTGATTCTTTCTCTACAGCCACACTGCTGTATTTTTCAGAACAAGACTGCCTCAAATTTTGAAATACTACTTTTTCTTACAGGACAAAACTACCAGCTTTGCAGGTGTGTAAGCACCTCATGAGTGAAAGCTGCCTGTCCAGTTTGCAGTAATGCAACTTAGGTATTAAAATCAAAATTAAGAGACTCCTTGCTATTGTAATTTGGGCAATTCCCTTTCAAACTCTCCTTTGTCTTGTAACTATAGAAACCATGTAAGGGTAAAGACAGACAGACTCTCTGGGCTGTAGATTTGTGTTAGGGACTGACCAAGGCTGGCTGATAACCTGGTGTTCTGCTCTCCCCTCTCTTCATGGACACATCTCACAAGCACACATCCATCTGCAGAAGTGCAAAGGAAGACAAACGCCCCAACAGTTACAGCTGTTCCCCAGAGTTATTTGATGTAAACCATACATTACTTTTAATGATAATCCTTCCCCTACCTGACACACATTTTTAGGCAACACAACTTCACAAGTAGATTTAATTAAGTGCTGGACCGGCTCTTGGTATTTCACATAGTAGAAAGTGCACAAGGAAATGGAAAGGCTGAAGGTGCAGTTAACAGACACAGCACAAATCCCTTCCTCCCATCCAGGCTTAGTGCTGATCACTTGGACATGCCTTACATAACAGTGTAAGCTGTCAGAGCACACAGAACATCTCTGAGCTGGAGATCCCCACACTACATCTTGCCTGTTACCCTGAGCAATGAGGGAAGGACTAAATGCCTTAGGGAACACCAAATGAAAAAAGTTTAGACCTGAAGATAATTCCAAACATACAGAAGTGTGTTTAAGTCCATTGCCTCCCCATCCCCCTCAGCCCTGCCCCAGTTTAGCCAAGATGAGTAACTGCTGGAGAAGGCACAAGTGACTAAAGTGTGCACACAGGGAGGAGTGCAGTCCTACCAGCTCACTCCCATACCTAAACTCCTATGCAACAGCTTCTCCACAGCAGTCAGAAATCACCAGAAAATGGCTGCTCAAGGAAAGAAGACTTAATGTCAACTTTTTGGTCAACAAATCCTGACCTATAACACACCCACAGTCTGGTACAAAGAACTGGAACACAGGACTAAGATATGCTACTGTTCAGACTCAAGAAACCACAGCAAAAACAACAAACAAACCCAAAACAAACACACACACAACAACTCTGCACACAAAACAGAAAAAACCCCCACACATAAGGATTTCCCCATATTTTGAAAGTAACACTAGCCTGAATAGCATTCATTAGGTACAGGAAAGGAATGAGAGGGAGACTGAGTTTAGTACAGAATTATTCTGGAATTAATAATGTTCCCACTGTCATTGACTATGTGTGGAAGTATAAAATAAACCTGTATCATACACAAATATTTTAGGAGCTGAAATGATGTTCAGGAAGCACTTGGAAAGAAGTTTTACTTTGATTTAGAAGTTAGTCTGAAACCCTCCCAAAACAACCTGTTTATGTTATGTCTACTGGGATCTGGAAAATTCCTGTACTTAAGGACATCTTTCTAAGTTCCTTACTCCCATTTCATTTCACAAAGCACTGATAAGAGCTTTGCTTTACAAACTGTGGCAGCTGAGTTTCAGAGCATGCCACTTCACTCTGGAGAAGGAACTCCTCTGTTAGGATCTGTACCTTACACAGCTAAAACAAGTGGGTTCCTGTGCTCAGTAGAGAGAAACTTCCACCCATAAAAAACCCCAAACTAAACTACTATCACTCTAGTCTGTCACTTGTGTACCTTGTTACACACTTATTAATAAATCTCATATGTAGATTTTCAATGGGAATGTGTTTAGGAAGGTTTTTTCAGGGATTCTGGGTGGATTTATTTTTTTTAGTGGAAGAAGGGCCTGGAATAATTTAAACTAAGAATCAATAGTAGTTGGCAAAAGCTAATACATAATCAAGAGTTACTAAACCTAGAAACTCCCATTGTAAAACTAAACTATAATTAAATGAGAACCTAAGACTCATAAAGGAAACAACAAGAACCAAACCACCATGGTTCCACCAAAGCATTTCACTGGAGAAATAAAGGATCATTCGAGCTGTAAATAAAATGCCAGACGTGTTCACAGCTTGTTCTAGTCAACTAACAGTTCTCAATCCCACATTTGCTTCCAACAGAGACACTAGATGCATTCCCCTACATAACACTGACACACCTTTTAGGGCTACAGTGATCTAAAAGATCTGCTAATAAAGGAAGTTACAGCTTATTAAATGTTAAAAATTGGCATGCTCATACTTTTAACAGAAAAAATTGGACCTAACAGTGAAAGCAAACAAGAAAAAAGCTCTTTTCCTGATAGAGATCTGAGCATTTATTCTTTCTGTAACCAAATCAGAAATCATTGAATTTTCTCTTGTAGTACACAACTTTACTTCAGTATCCAAAGTGCCACCTTCTCACAAGACAGAACTGCAACACTCAATTTTAGCAGCTGAACAGTGGATCTTACCATAAGAGTGACATCTTAGTTAAGTAATTTCCAATAAGAGTGTGATCTTAAACTAATATGTTCTATTGCATTGTAATAATTCCCCCCTTATCAAGGAAAAAATAGTAAAGGAAATTCAGAATACTCAAACCAAAGTTTTTACCTCACTTTATATTATAAATCTCATTTTTAAAAGATATATTTCAGTTTACCATTCTAATCCACATATAACATCTGCAGCCCATTATCAGAACATGTCCTAGGCATAAGATACAATTTCATAAAAACATACAAAGTAGTTACCCTTAGAAAACAGAGAGGAGTCCAGGCAGGAAGATTCTGGATTTTGCATAAAGTGTGGTCATCCAAGAGCCTTGAGCTATCCCAGAGGCCAAGCCATCCACCGAGGTAGGATGAGGCAACTTAAGAGGAAAAACAAAACAAAATCAGAGTATTTAATTACTATGTGGTGGTTTTTATTTTTTTAACCAGAAGCATTAAGTACACAATTCAATACAAATTTTAAAATTATTTGTGGTAAATTCTATTAAAGCAGATCAATGTGGGTTAAACCCCCTAAGATTCACAAATACACTGAAATAAGAGGACCTAACAGTTTTACCTGTGAACACATACAATGTGGAAATTATATTTTGTAAATGAGTATTGCAGAATGCTGATCCTCTGAGCATTAGGCTTTAGGATAAGGACTTGCACTGCTACTTCCTAAGGTTATTGAACACCAATTTACAATTGCAATCATCTCCAAAATTACATAATCAGGAGAGAGAATACCATGCATTGTGAAGAACTACATTTCACAATTATCCCCTAACGCTTACAGGCTGCAAAAGCAGTTAGATTTTTATTTAATTCTCCAACTTTCCTCTTTTTTCAGCATACACAAAACCAGTATGAGGAGGCAGGTGACAAGGTGTCCTGTGATTGTGTCTAATGTTGAGTGTGGCACCAGTTCCATCAAACTCCCTGATATAGCAACATCTGCAGTATGGCCAGAGACCACATGGATTAAACCATGGAATAGCTCAAGGCATAACTGGGAAACGTGAAAAGGCTGAAGTGACAGTAAACTACGGGCTAGGCTGGGAAATGTGGAGGGAATCGCACGATCCATGCTCTTGAGGTCTCACCTCCACCTGGAGCACATCTTTCTAAGTTCCTTACTCCCATTTCATTTCACAAAGCACTGATAAGAGCTTTGCTTTACAAACTGTGGCAGCTGAGTTTCAGAGCATGCCACTTCACTCTGGAGAAGGAACTCCTCTGTTAGGATCTGTACCTTCCACAGCTAAAATCAGTGGGTTCTTGTGCTCAGTAGAGAGAAACTTCCACCCATAAAAAACCCCAAACTAAAAATCAAAACAGTGTACAAATTCCAAGGATGGAAGGCCTTGCAGGGGCTAAGAGCCTGCAGGCAGCAGAGGATGTGACATGTTGGTTTGTGCACATCACACACACAGACACCTGACCCAGCTACGGCAAAGCACAAATCACAAATGCACCGCAGGAGCAAGGATCAGCACTGGCTGCACAACACAGCCCCTGGTGAGCAAAAACCCAGAGTTCACACATTATTGCGCAAATCTTAAAATAATACATAGTGAAAGGCAGTCTTACATTCAGACAGACGGGCAAGTAAACGCCTACAGTTCATCTTACATAGCAACTCATAGCCTGATGCTAGCAAAGGGCTCCTCCGCTTACAGAACCTGGGAACTGTAAAAATGCAGTAAAACAGCAGTAAAACGCCCGTGACCTCAGCGAGCCAAACCTAACCCACAGCAACAAACACATCAGCATCTCCCTCCTCCTCCTCCTCGAAGCTGACTTCTTTCCCAGTATAATGATATCCACGCTATCTGTAAATAATTAGAAAATAAAAAAAGCCCCAAATAAAGAGATAAATGAAGATTCATAACCTATTTGCTCTGAAACAGCAGGACTTCAGGTGGTCACTATTGAGGTTCATTTAAATGTACTTGTTAGGTCACAGGGAGATGCGTGCAGTCACTGCATTTTCTATACACTAAATATAAAAACACATGTTTTAGAGTTTTAGGATTCTTTAATGCTAAAACAACTTCACAACGCCAACAAGCAAGATAAAATCTTGAAAAGTTTTAGATTTCAGCACTTTAGGTAAAAAACCCCAAACCCAACAGAATTAGAAGCACTGGATTAAAAAATATAGTACTGTTACTTGTGGTTTAGAAGTCCAATATTTTGCTAGAAGGAGATGAAGTCAAGAAGTTTTCAAATTTAATTTCTTTATTAGATACTTCAAAGGATTCCTGCAGAAGTAACTGTGGAGGTTTTGACTTTTGCCCTGTATGATTTCTAGGCACACTGGGTTAAGTGTCAGGAAGAAGTACAAAATGTAAGGTTATTAGGTGTAATTTTTACAATCTGTTAGGAAAAAAAACAACCATAGAAGACAGAGTAGCTGCAAATCATTATGAATTATATCTCTAGTGGATTACTTTCTGTCTTCCCTTCCTAGAACGTGTTTAGGGGTCACTTTAGAATTTTGAAATTACAGCATCATTTTAAATGCTAATGGAATTTCCCACATTGCAGTTAACTGCCCGAACTATGGAATTTTAGCCACATCAAAAATAAAGTGGAAAACTACTGCATAAGGCTCCCACCTATGCTTTTAGAAACGAGCATTCCAACGCAGTTCGAAAAATTCCAGGCCTAACTAGGGCAGAAATTATTAACTGCACCTATTCGCGAGCTCAATCTGCAATATGCACAGCTCCTCCAGTCCCATCCACCTGCTCGTAGCCCAGACTAACACACGTTTATTAAGCCCGGCAAAACCTGCTATTAAAAATGCAGCTTATCCATGAGTCGCAAGCACCGAGCGGCAGCGATCAGGAGAGCCAGGATGGAGCGGCCGGGATTCAGGGGGAGCCCTTTCCTGCCGCCCTCCCGCGGCTCCTGCCACCATTTGGCCTTTGTGGAAGGAGCGTCGGTGCTTCCTGCGGCCGTCCCGCCCCCGCCGCGGCCGTGGGCAGCGGTAACCAGAGACAACCTTGGGCTTCCCGAGCTGCGAAAAGTTACACTCCTCCCCCTTCCTCCCTCCGCCCGGCTCGCTCGGACCCCGGCCGGGCTAATTATAACTGCGCGAACAACTTCCACCGCCGCCCGCGCTCCGGCCGCTCCCCCCGCGCCCAGCCCGGCTCCCCGGGGCCGCCGCACCCGCACCCGGCGCCGCTGTGCCCCCGCGCCCAGCCCGGCTCCCCGGGGCCGCCGTCTGTCCGCCCCGCACCGCCCCGGGGCCCGCCGTGCGCTCCACCTGTCCCCGCTGTCCCCTCCTCTCCCTCCGCACCGCCGGCTGCCCCTCCGCCCCTCACCGGCAGGGCCCCCCCCCCGCCCCGTCGGGGCTCCCACCGCCCCCGCCTCGGCCTCCCGCCGTGCCCCGCCGTCACCCCGCGACCGCCGCCGCCCTCCCCCTGCCCGCGGCTGCCAGCCCCGCGCCCTCCCGCCGCCTCCCGCCCGGCGCCCCACCTGGGAGCGGAGGAAGCCCCGTTCGTTCGCGGCCGGCCGCGCTCCCTCCCTTCGGCGGGGCTGGGACTCGGGCCGGGAGTAGGCGGAGGCAGCGCCACCCCCGCCGGGCCCCGGCAGCCTCCGCTCCGCCCTTCCCTCCGCCCGCGACTCCCGCGGAGGGGCGCTGCGTGCGCCGCGCGCGCCAGCTGCCCGCCCTCCCATTGGCCGGCGCCCCTTTCAACCTGCCCGGCAACCATTTTCTGACTGGCCGGGCAGCCGGGAGGGCGGGGCTACGACTGGTCCCGCGGCGGCGTCCAATGAGAGAGCCGGGAGGGCGGGGCCTCGCGGCGGGCTCGGCCAATGGGGGCGCGGGCGCCGCCGAGTCCCGCGTTCCCGGCGCGGCGCTCCGGGGCGGCCCCGCCCGCGCTGCCGGGGATGGCGGAGCGGCCGCGCTGGGCTCGGCTCGGCTCGGCTCGGCTCGGCTCGGCTCGGCTCGCACCGCGCTGCTCCGCCCGCCGCTGCCGCCGTGAAACCACCGCGGAGCCAGCGGCCAGCCCGCACCCAAGCCCACAACCACCCCCGCTCCCTCCCACCCTTTTTTTTTTGTATAAACTCGCAGTGCGTCTCTGACCAAAACTACCCAATTTCAGTGAAAGGCACGCCCAGGGCTTCTACAGAGCGGCGTTCCTACAACGCCCCGGTGCCAGGCCTGTTGGGAAACCAGGCGCACACGTCTCCGACCAGCCCTAGAGCTACGTCAAACATTGCACAATTCTCCCATGAATATTCACTTGATTTTTTTTTTTCCTTCAAAGACGAGGCGGTTTTAGCCGTGCTCAAACCTCATATTTGCTTTTCACGGGCATTTGCGTAATCAAGTTACATTGGCACGAGCGTTTGTACAAACCAGATTTCAAAATCTGACACTGAAGCATTTGTAAAGATTGATTTTGGTCCTTTGTCGAACCCGCCATGAGTTGGTTACCTGATGCATCCCCTGAAAGCTGCTTGATCTAAACCCATCTCTGGAAGAGGCAATCTCCAGGACATTAAAACCAAACTAACTCAAGGACATTTGCACAGACGGGTTCCTACATGGACAGCGAGCACAGACCAAGCTCGCACACCAGCTTCCATGTCGGTCTCATAAATACTGCAGAAACATTTGCAGTTTTCTGGTGGAGATACATTACAACTTCGAGGAAAGATCAGCTGCTTTTTGTAATTATTCAGCAAAGGAGATTTTTTTCTTTTAAACCCTCAGGTGCTACAGATTTTAACCCTTGTGTCTCCTGATGGGCACTCGGGGTAGGAGTGTGCTATGAGGGCGAAGAGTGGAGAGACAGAAAGCCAAGGTGGCCCCCACGGGTGAGGTGTCCCTGGCTGAGGACAGGGACATCATCTCTCCAGGCCACCTCTCTCCTGCAGCATGGTGTCCCCAGTTCCCCAGGCACAGCTGTGCTCTGACCTCGCTGCTGGGGGTCACGGAGCACAGAAGGGGAGCGAGTGCGGCCATGAGGAGCACTAATGAATCCTTTTTGACACGCTGCCGGAGCTGGGGGTGACACCCCGACCCCCGTGGTCCATCTGCTGCACCAAGGGTAAGTGCAGGACCAGTGTCAGCTCTGAGGGGGTGGAGTGGACCAAACACCTCCCCCAGATCCCTTCCTTCCCACCACACACTGTGGCTTAAGTGGAGGAGTAACTCTGAGATGTTCAGGATTCTTCTGGGTGCTGAAGTCAACCAGGGACAGCCAGGAGTGTGGCACCAGGACAGACCCCTGCCATCTGCTGGGGATTATCTCCAAGGAATAGACACAGGACAGGCCTACAAAGGGAGCTGGTGCAGAAAGGATGGATCTGGAATCATTATGTCTAATACAGAATACAAAGGGATAGTTTAACTAGCAGTACCACCAAAGTGTCCCCAGAGCTTGAGCCAAGATTAGGTTTTGTAGACTTGATCCCTATGGCCAAAAGTCTGTGACCTCTGGGCATCCCTGCAGCACCAGGACAGTCCTGGACAATTCTCCCTCTCCAGCTCAGTGCTTGAGCCTCTGGTACAGCAATTCTCCTCCAGTCCAGCAGACCTTCCAGAGAGCACCAACACTGGTCTCCCTGCTGTCCTCACTCTTGCTTGAGTCATTAACCTGAGGTGGTCAGCTGCTCTGTAAGCAGTTTTTGTTCTGTGCAATAGAAAAGGCTGAATGTGCCTTCTACAGTGGGAGTTTCTAGAAAGGTCAGTTGTTTCAAGCATGATCTGACAAGAGCTACAGAAAAAAAGAACCCGGAGTTGTTTCAATGCATGCATCAGAACTTTGGATTCATGGCTTAACACCTGAAGAAGTTAATATAAGTGACATAAAATATGGTGATTATTTGCACAGGGTTTGGTCACTTTTTGCTTGTGTAAACAGTGGGATTCACATAAAAGAACTGGAACCTCGTTTAGCTTGGCAATGTTTAATGTCTCCTGTGCTAGAGGAGCCATGCTTGTCTCACACTGAAAATTCAGAGGGCTGAGCTCACATAAAAGGTCTTTCTTGACAAAAATCTTCCTTTAAAAGGTCCTTACATTCTCAAATGAGGTCATGATCTAGGAGTCTAATGCTCTCCCATTTTGAATTGAACTAAGCTTGAGGCAAACCAAGGATTGTATATGATTTTTAAAGCTTTAAACATGGCCTTTCAGTATGACTATACTCACTACAGCAGGCCAGGACGCCATTCCCACAAGCAGCATATTTCCTTTTGCAGCAAATTTCACATAAACCAGGGAAAAACACAACCCCCAAACCAATCAAGATCTCCATATAACTCATCTGAAAGGAATGCTGGGGGTTTGCTACTTCTTCTTACCTTCATACTCGGCATCTATTCCAAAACACAGTCCAGGAACACAAGAACAAATGAAGTCTGCTTTCCTATGGATTTATGCCTGTGATTAATTACTCTGTGTCTAAGGTATGAGCTCTAATTGAAGCTGGTCTCATGCCTGGAAACGTATCTCTCCCTTATCTGGATTAATGGTTATCAGTACAGAATGCTGTTTTCTTCTGATATCTCCACACTTGGAAACATTCTAAAAATGTAGTGACTGTGAGATCTGATGGATTTGATTGAAATGAAAGAGCTGTTCTAAAGCTGAATGGCAGAATGATCCTGTAATGCCACCCTTCCACAGGGGAGTGAGAAAGGCAGAGCACACTGCACCAAACCCTGGTTAGTTTTACCACCTCTTCTTGGTGTAAAGCCTCTGTGAACAAATTATTCCTACACCTACTCAAGTTTATTAGAAAGGCCATGACACAAGATGCTTATTACAAAACCTAACAACACCTTACTGAATATTTCTCAGATAGAAATTAGCCATTGTTCTCTTTTGTCAAAAGAATCACAATTTACAAGAAAAAGCACTTTCCTCCATACCCTTCAAACAAAGCAGAGGCAAAAAAGCAAATGATGGTACCAAGCTTCAATTTAAATAATTAACCATTCAACAATTTTGTCTTAAACTTCAGTCAGTTCACTGGACACAAAATAATCCAAACATCCAGTGCTTTCCATGTCTAGCCTTTCTCTCAATAATGATTTCTAACACAGAAAAGTGAATTTCTTACAAGCATTGGGTTTTTTTTTTCTTTTACATATTAAACTCTTTTGGGTTTAGAGTTTTTTCATCAACATACCCACTCTTCCCTTTGGGAGTCCTGTTTTGTCAGCTTGCACAACTCCAGGCTGAAGTTACTTTTTCTTGATTTCCTCTCCAAATCTTGTCTGTAAATGGAACATGAAAACTAGTATATACAATTTCCTTTGCTGCAGCATTTTACTATTGCAGTACATCCTTGCACTTCCCACTCCATGGGGAGCTCCATGGGGACTTCCAAACACAGCATACATGGGGACACAATTTCTGTTTAATTCTGGTTTTGCAAGCAGTCATGTAATCACCTGTACCTTCAATTACTCTTCCCTAAAAAGATGCCAGTTGAAATTACTCAAATGTTTCCCTAGCAATGCAAAGCAGCCACTGGCATTGGTTTTCCTGTTGACATGTTTGTCATGCATGGACCTTTACCACAATAATTCTTCAGGTCATAAACCACTCCTTTTGGGGGAATGTTGGCTAAGCAAATGAATAATTATTGTTTTTTTAAGAGCTGCCATACAAACTTAAGAAAATCATGTCAAGTAATGAAATTTTTGTATTTTTCACTAGTTTTTTTTTCAAAACAAAAAAATTTTTACAAATATCTAAAATAAGTCTCTTTCCTGACAAATTATTCGATGGGATTTCATTTCTCCATGAAAATTCCTTGGGAAAAAAGTAGGAAAACTTATCTTAGATGTCAACTTTGCAAGAGACACCAAAAGAAGTTCACACAATCCTTGCAAAACCTTGTATTTAACAAGCCAGATTGACAAAAATGTGCATGTTCCCAAGATGTTTATTTCATTTCTTTGAAACTTGGTGGCTTTGTACTCTTAGTTTTAGTCAGAGTGTGAAATAACACTCATATAAGAACTGATGAGCAAACAAAATTTGTCATCATCAGTCATGGGGGTTTTTTGCATATGGGACTACATCCCAGGCTTGAAACACAAGCATATTTTCACTTTGAACAAAAGTAATTTTTGAAAACATTTTTATTTGTCTTATCATGGATGTCAGAAAGCAAATGTCTTGGGTTTTTTCATTCTAGCTTTTGACAGTTCATTTACCTATAAGGGAATATGGAATAAGCTGCAAGACTGTAAAGCAGTCACACAAATCAATATTCTGAGACACAAAAAAAATCCATGATGGTCTGATAATTACAATATTAAACTATACTCTCAGTCAATTTACAATAATGCCTTTTAAAATGCTTACTAAAGTAGCCCAGACATACCCAAGACTTCAAAAAAGTCTAAGGACAGCTTTGAGAACAGGTAATTCCTGGTGAGTCTGAAGGCTCAGCTCTGTGTGAATCCCTCACCTGCTCCAGGCTGAAACCCTTCACTGCTGTGCCTCCAAGGCAGTCTGCTCAAAAAAGGTTCTTTTTTAATTCAAACACCTGACTCTCTCTTCACTCACCAAGTTTGTCCTTTAGGCAAATACAGCTCTGGTTGTAGAGACAGGTGATGTTTTTTGCTAGGCAAACTTCCAGAGCTGCATAGAGAGAGGGGGTTAAAAGAAACTAACAAACACCACAGGAACAGAGAAGCAATACGCAGACAAGCCATTGTTACAGCAGCCTGGATCCTTGCACTTCTTGTGCCTGATCTCTGATTTTCTGGCAAGGGAAAAGGAGAAATAAAACCCCAGGCACAGAAGAAGGGCACAGATACTCTGCTACCTGCAAAGGAAGCAGATTGGGTATGAGCTGGGTGCCTGACAGTGCTTGCTGTGCTGCAGCTCCACAGCCCAGTGCCATCAGCAGACCAACAGCCCTGTCTGACATGGCACTGATGCTGTGCAAGCTCCACAACTCTTCCCTAGGAGCACGAGAGGAAAAAGGCTGCTGGGAGTGGCAGCAAAATCTGTCAGAAGCCTTTCCTAATTACAGAAGCTATGTCCTTTAAATTTCCCATTTACATGTAGAAATTAAGAAAATCCCCAGCAGCAAGTATCATCTCTCACCATTTGTTGTAACAGCTCACTAAAGAAATGAGAATAGCAGTTAAAAAAATAAAGCTTCTTTTTTCTATTCTTTTTTTTTTTTTTTTTAACCAGGAGAAGCTGAATTAGACTGAGACACATTATTAAAGCAATAGGGAGACAAGCTGATTTTACAGACTGGTCTCTGCAAAGTCAGACCAGTTGCAGGCACCCAGCAGTTCTGCATGGTGACTGTGCAAGTTTCAGCAATACCAATTCTTAACCCTGCTGAGCCAAGATACCAGGCTTGTAAGAGCACATAAGATTTGGCATAAGTTTTAAGAATGTAATAAAACAGGATATATATTTCTATCTAAATGCTTAATCCACAAATGCCTGCTTACCTAACAGCTTTCCTGTTAAGCCAAGTGGACTCTATAAATTGTTTTTAGTAGGCACAGCTTCCTCAGTAAAGGAATGCACCCAGCTAGATGAAGTATAGAGTTATAAATACACACATGTGCACTTAACATACATAGTTTAACAGTTATGAACAAGTTATTCTGATTCCTCTCTGTAACTTGTAGACTGATGCACACTAAGGAGGTGGGGAAGAGCATTTTTAAAATATCTTAACGTGAAACTGCACATTTAATGAAAATGGAGGGTATGGGGACAGAGGGGAACACACACAGTTGCTCAAACTTGTGGGTTTTCAACACAGTTCAGAGCAGTTTTGGAAAAGTTTCCCAGAGGAACAGAAGATATTTAGTTATTCCAATCAATGCTGATGTTCCCTTTATAAAACTGAAATTAGTTTTCTGTTTTACATAAGGCATTTGCTGTCCAGTTCTGTGGTTCACCCACAGAAAAACATCAAGAAAAATTACCTGCAGATTTATAATTTTTGAAAGAATTTCTGATACTACAACAAACACTACCACATAAGCCAGCTTTATTTCACTGTGAGATATGACAGTTTTTATCTATATTTGGATCCTCCTGAATCAGCATTTACTGCTGCAATACCTATAAGAGATCTCTCAGTTAAGGCATGGGCTTCTCTGTGGTCCAGCTGTATCCCACAGACTGAACTTGCAAGTGCCTATTTGCTATTTCTTCCTTTAATATGAAGTTATTAATCAAAGTTTAATTACAGCAACTACAAGTTATCTTATGCCAAATTGAATACAAGGAAACATCTTCCAGTTCACTGAAGACTCACACTAAGTGCATGGTTTCAGAAGATGGAGCCAATACACATTCAACTGTTGAGTTTGCAAAATTTAGCTAAATGATATCTTTCCTCAAAGCAGATGATTCTAGAGCAGGTAAGCTCAGTGGTCTCTTTATTCTTGAAGTGATACCCAAATGTTCTTAATATCCCTTTGGCACCTCCACCTCCAATCTCCTTCCAGGTTTGAGAATGTGCATTGTAGGTGAGGTCACTCATGGCAAGGCAGAGCCTGTCACACACAGCAAGGTTCTCTTTTCTTCTTCAGCAGCTGCCTTGGCTCACATCTACAGAAAACAACTTGTTACTGACAGATGTCTTCCCCTGGCACAGCCATGGCCCACATATTCTAGAAACCAATCCATATTCCCCCCCTTCCCTACACCCTGCTAGCTTGGGGCTTTTCCCCAGTAGCAGCTTCTGATGGGAAACATTTGTTATTTTATAATGAAATCACAGACTATACTCAAATTATCCCTTTCCCCAAAAAAAGTCTCCTAGGAAGAAGATTAGTTAGATACACTCTAAACCAAATGTGCTGGAAGAAAAGACCACCACCCCATGTTGTATTACATTTTTTGTTATTAAAAAAGCCAAGAGGAAACCCTTGGTAAGAGTGGAGCATATTAATTATGACAAGACATCAACCAGTGAGATTAAAAGGCCGCTAATAACGCTTTTTGTAGTAATTAGTGCAAGGTAGTTATCCCATATAAACAAATATTTGATGGTAGACTTCAATGATAAACAATTCACTTGATGACATTTACATATAAATACACATAAATAAAAACCTGCATCATTTAGGTTTGTAGTTAACAAAAAAGTATGGTCTGAAATGAATTAAATGTAATTTTGTCTAGCTAGATCAAAGATCTTCCTATAATGATACTCAAATATGTGGAGTATGAAAAGCATAGATGTACAATTCTCAATTTAGTAAAGTACTACTCTATAAAACAGAATCATGAAAACAGCTCTTACATTTTAATGCAAAGTATAAAACTGCATATTTACATTAACATACACTTTACTGAACTACATTGGGTAGCTCATGGTAAAAAAACATCCCTTTTTGAAAATCTTGCAAAAAATACATCAACTGCAGATATGATCAAAAGTTACTAAGTTAGCAGCTGACACAACATCTGTAGTAAAAAATATATTTTAGGAAAATACCTGGAAAAATCTAAACACCAATAAACACTTTAAAACTATTTTTGAAGTAAAAATTCTAGCAAAACCCAGAAGCAGCTAGCAAGGATAACAAGAACTATTGCATACTGCTCTTTAAGAGCCATGTAGGGACTTAAAACAGAAGCAGCAGGTGTGGTAGGAGTTTTGCCATGTAACAAAATGGAAACTGGAGGGAACAGGAAACCAGTTATCCAACTTCTTGTCTCTTCTGTTTATTACCATTTTTATGGGAGAAGTGTAAGAAGATAAGAGAATCCCTCTCCCAGAGGATATCCTCCATCAAAGGCTAAAACAAATTGGTAAAAGGAACCCAATTTCAAGAGCCTTTGACCCCCAATATAGAAACATTTACCATATGTACTTACAGTTCAGTGGACAATAAATCAGATTATTACACTACAAGTTGCAGGTCAACTGTAAGAGTTAACACTATTTTGCAATATGAAGTGCTTCTTAATATATGTATCTATATAATATATAGATATTTGTAAAATACTCGTGCAGATTTGATAGAACTAACTGTGGAAATTGCTCTCTCCAGTCTTTTCTTCCCATTAACAGATCTTTACCTCCACACAAGGAGCTTCAGGATTCAACAAGGATTTCCACAATATGATCAAGGTCATTAAGATCAGATTTACAATTAGAGTTAGAAGCTGTATTTGTTGGAGAAGAAAATGTTTCAAGACTATCACAGTGTCCCATTTTTGTGTTGCTCATCATGCCAGTTAACATAGTATCAAGATCATAATAAGAATTGTCAACTTCTGAAAACAGATCTTCAACAGTATTAGGACTTTTATTCTCCAGTGTCTCAAATATTTGATCTAAAGATTTTTGAAAGTTTCCTTTATTTTCTTGTGGACTCTCCATTTCCCACACACTGCTCTGCAGGTTTCTTGGTGTTTGCACTGCAGGGGCTGTTGACATAGTTTCTGAATTATCTTGTGCCTGGTCACTCTCAAAGTCTTTATTGAAGGCACCATAGGCTGGCCCATGCTTTCCCTCAGCTTGGTGATCCCTAGATGAACGACAGAGGATATCTGTGGAAACGAGACGATCCAGGGATGCCTGCCCTGTGCTCTGTGTATTTATCATCTGCCAAGTCCCATCTTGAGTCATCTCCTCCTGGATCTGCCGTACCGTGTTGGCGATGAGCACCGAACGACAAAGGTTGGGTTCCACCAGCATGTGACACAGCTGAAGTTTAACCAAGGACATGTCCAGGAGCGACTGCCGCTGCAGATTGTAGGAAGGAATAGCCTTAATACCAGCCAGAGTGCCTTCAATATCTTCTTCACCATCAAAACATTTTCTCTTTAATCCTCGCACAAACATTGTGTCCTGTCATAAAACCCAAACAAATAAAAAAAAAATCATGTACAATATAAACAGTTCAAGAGGGAGGAGGAAAAAAACGGTACTAAAAAAAGAGAACAGCGAACTTTAATCTTTTATTAAAAAGAAACATCAGAATTGTCATACCATGTTCTAGAATGGCCAGTGTGGTACAACAGGGGTCAGGAACTTGTGGACCGGGTCCCAAAGGCGACATCCGGGAACCAGGGGTAAGCAGGTCCACAAGGCATCGGAGAGGGCAGGGGCTCCCAGCTCCCACAAGGCATCAGAGAGGGCAGGGGCTCCCAGCTCCTGGCTCCCACAAGGCATGGCATTGGAGAAAGCTCCCATTGAGCTCCACTCTTGATGCCAGCCAGGAGCTGCTCCCTCGTACAGAAGCAAACATCTCATCGGCTGCATTTCCCCATCTCTATTACAGAGGCAGTTTCTCCTCGTTCCTCTTTGCCAGTAGAGTTTCTACTCTCATTTTGGAAATAAAAATACAACCTGGCACACCATCTTTAAAAGATTTGATCCCTCCACAACATTATTATGCTTAACAGAGTAACATGAAAAAAAACCCCATGGGCAGCACATGTGAAAAGATTAGCTTATTTGGCTACAAAGACAGCAATATCTAGATTTGTTCCTTGAGATGTAACTTGAGACATTGAGCAGAGGTGCCCAAAGCAGTCCTTCTGGTTCCCTTCCTTAGGTGAGTAAGTGAACTGCGTAATTCCAATAAGAATTGGGCAAGTGCAGTAAGGACAGTCCCAGTCATCCTCTGTATGGGCTTCTGTACTCCTTTCCCATTGACTGTAAGACAGGAAAACTCCTGTATTCATAGCTTGGGTTCAACAGCTAAAAATTAAAAATACACAGATGCATGCAGGCTTTTCAGTATTCACACCTAAAATCACTTGCTGAATTACACAAGGGGTACCTCTCAAATACCAGCCTCAGCTCTTCTGAACTGCACTAATTTTGACAACAGTGCCCCATGCAAATATTACAGCTGGTCCCTTGGAATACAAAGTATTTTTTTTATGCAGTATATAGCACCTCTTTAAGTCTTATAAAAATTGGGCTGCAAATGAAAGCTGATACCTGATCTTTACATGTATGCATCTTCTGTCCTTAGAATTCCTGTTTGCCCAATATTTGGGGCTTTTTTTCAAGGTAGTGACCCAAACAAAACAGTTTTTCAACTAAAAGCTGATAAAACCAAAATACTATTGCAGTGTCTTTCTATATAATCTCCCATCTTCCTTGATAAGCCTTAAACTCTGCCTTGCTTTTCTGGTTGCTATGGTACATTCCACATATTTTCATGGAATTTTCTCTCAGCTTTTTCAGAGACACCAAAAATCCACCAAAGGGCAACAACACTGTTCTTTCAAAATACATTACATGCTTATCTACTGTGAAAACCTGGAGATAGCACAGTAGCTAGATAAACACTTGGTCTGACTCTGTACAACACTTGTAACACTGCTGTATATATCCATGAAATAACCTTCAGTGGGATTTGCCAACTCTTAAAAGATTTCTTTCCACTGAAGGTACAAAACTCTTTACAAATCATAATGTGCAGAGACTACAATATAGAATAAACCTGGTCTTGTAGTCATTTTTCATAACTTCTTAAAAGCTATCCATGGATTAGCTATGTATTAAATACCTTGGATGTTGCTTCTGAAATTTTATCCTGAAACCTAACATATTTCAATTACTCCTATTAAATACTTGATGTTGTTGTTGCTCTATAGTTCCTTTTCCAGATTTTTAGACATTCCTTTTAGAACTTCCTATCAGAGGATATCCTATTTAAATTTTCCAACATTTCTATGTACAGTAATTTCTGAACATACCCTTCCTCCCCCTTGTGAAACAACCTCTAGAAACATCTTTTGGGACTGTTTACAAATCATGTATGATTACATCATCAAACATTAAACACTGTGTAGTTTGAAGCTTCTTTTATTTCAACTTACATTCTTGTGAAGAGTAATTAAAACTTCAATTGAATGTTAACCTGGTTTTCATACATCTATAATTTGGCATTTCTAAGGCACACCAAGAGAACAGAGCACAGGAGAAAACTTGAAAATAAGAATAAGAAAGAATACATCACACACACTTCGGCACCTAGAAGCAGAGGAAAAACATTTATCTATTCTTAAAGATAAACCTTTCACAGCATTCACCGATTTTTTTCTAACACTTGTTTCAATTAGTATCTTACATCATAAACCAGTTTTTTGCCATCCTGTTCTTGCACAGAGCACCAGGTCAGGGTTTCATTTAAGAAGCAAAAAGCGACGTACCAGGAATGGTGTCTGATGCAGTCCTTCCTCTTCTCCCATGCTACTGAGCAAGAGTCCATGCAGTACAAGTGACAGCACCACCTGCCAAGCACAGGGAAGCAAGCAGGATGTCAGGCAGGACAAGGCATTTTCCTTCAGTATCTCTGTCCTGTAGGATGTGAGCATCATTCCCACAAACATGAATAGTAGCATTAAAGCCAATGCACAATTAGAGCACAAATGTGATTTGGCCAACAATACCCCCAGAATCTGCAGCAGGAGGAAAATGCCAGTTTAATTCCAGGTCCTAGGCTACTGCCCTGACCTTCGGACCAGCCTTTCCCTTATGCCTACAGCTCTGCCACTTAAAGAGCAAACAAAAATTTTTCATATGAGCATTAAAGTGTACACAAACAAAAGGTAATGAAAGCAAGTCTTCCTTACTTTTATTACAAAACTAGAGTTTTCACCTTTGCTGTACAAACCCATGTATATCTCTGTAGCATCTAGAGAAAATGAGGTGGCACAAACACAAAACTCTAACACAGCAAAACATGAGAGAATTTTCCTTTACCAGCATAGAAACTTTATGACTCATTTTTACTTAGCAAGATGACAGTAATGAAAGTAATGACAGTAATTAAACTGCTTTAACAATAAAGGCTGAGTTTTTAAAACCCATTTAAATCATATTAAGATTTGATATCTCAAATACAAATTCCCATCATATGCAACAATTCCCTGAACTACTGAAATGAAAAAGAATGCTGTTCCAACAGGCTATAAAAACTTTTATAATAAACTATGGAAACAATTCAGATACTTTTCTAGACATGTCTGTGCAGTACAAGACAGTTCTGTGTCTGCAACTGAAATGCATACCTGGAAAAGAAATATTAAGAGGATGCACATGGACATCTGTTCTTATTTTCTGTTTTGTGTAGTGATAAACAATTTTTCAAGATTGCTTGCTCTCAAATGGAGGGAGAAGAAGGTGGATGACAAAGCACTTGGGGGTGGGAGAGCAGAAAACATGTTTTTCCTCAAGAAGCTGCATACTCGTTAAAATACCACAATGGAAAAAAACCCTTTAACATTCTCAAGCCAAAACCTTTTGACTTGATCCCAGATATCCAAACTAAATGATGTTATGTCATGGAAACTGTATTTTGAACAACTCATAGTCTCTTTTTAATGGACTGAGCTCACAGCAGCTAAAGCATTTCAAGGACTCTGAACTACAACTTCAGTCAGACTCCCTATCAAGTCAGTGAACTATCTCTCATTTCTGGCAAACACTTTGTGACACTGTAAAAGTTCAGAAGTTTTTGCTTCCCAGGTACACTTTGAACACATTCTGTAAATGAAAAGTGATCTCTTTGAGAGCCTGTGTCTGGTAACTATTTGAATCCCAAAATTTCTATTTTATTGGAGGGTAGGTGACAAGGGCATAACAAACATCCAACACCAAACATCCTCCCACCCCCCTGCCAAGAAACACAGGTAAAGATGGTGCAGTCATGAGAAAAACAAATTGATATTTGGTACATCTGACAATTTTAGAGGGAGAGGCTGTGGCTGTTTGCCTCCCAAGATATTGGACAATACAGGAGGGGACCGCTGCTGTTGGTGAAAGAGCCATTATCACATCCACAGCCTAAATGACAGGGGATGGTGGCAGACCAGGCCAGTCTGTAGTCTATTATCTATTTACATACTACAGAGGGAAAGTCTTCCCATGCAATATAATAATGTGCAAAACCTGCTGCATGTGATTCCAGGTTCTTCCCTAGGTCAATAACCAAACCACGTGGACCTCTGCTAGTATAATGCATTAGCCATTGTGCAAAACCTTTTTTGGTGCTTCAGAGTCAAGGTGTTCAAAATCCCCTGATAATTTCAAGCAGCATCTTTCTCCATCCAAGAGGCAGCATCTGGATGAGCTACATCATCTCCTTTCTTCCTCTGCTACCTCAGTGTCATGAGCCCAAACTTTGTGTATTCAACTAAACTGCTGTTTGAAACAGCTATGCAAAAAGAAAAGTTGTCAAGGAGACAGAGCTAGCTGCAGCACAGTGCACTCGGGGAAAAGGAGTTTTGTGGGTTTTGTTGTTTTGCTTTTTTTAATAAATAATAGCACAGCATTATGTAATTTATCACAACTTTTGCTTTTAGGATCAACAAATTCCCAGTCTGCTTTACAAAAAAGGTGCTTGAAATTTGATCCAGTTCTTATTAGAGCACCAAATTAAGACATTCCACGTTCACACTCAATTTGGACTCTTAGTGATATGCTGCCAAAGAGATAGTTAAGTACTTAAGGGAAAAAAGCTGCTTCCCACTAACTGGGCTAACAGAGAAGATAGGGAATTTCAGCAGTGCTTATCTTTAGGAGAAAGCAGACAAGACGTACCCAGGCCAGTGCTGGAGGTTCAGTGAAGCACGGTGCTGCTTTTTGTACAGCCCTAAGTACAGTGATGATGGTTAGCACGGGAAAGCAAGAAGGGGCCGTATCTCCCCTCTACTAACACTAATCCTCTCCACTCCAACACTGGCTTTTCTAAGAACCGTGGGAAGGAACCAAAGCTCTGTGTAACAGCGGAGAAAAAGACGGAAACAGAGCTACTCCTCCTCTTTAGCCAAGCACGTGTGCCCATGTGGTGGTGTCGAGGTACAAGGTGGGATGCAGCCACAGCACAGGGATGGTAAGGCCAGAAGCATCGCTATTCACACTGGAACAAAGGCCCCTGTGAAGCACTGGGGTCTGCCCACCCCCGGGGCGTAGGGGGCTGGCAGGCACCTCTCCGGCACTCGAGAGATTTGGGAAGGGGTCCCCGCACCCAGGGAAGGAAGGGCAGGCTGAGCAGATGGGGCAGGAGCTCCGGGACACGCAGGTGGGGGCCGGGAGCGCTGGGCAGGGGGAGCCCGCAGAGCCGGGGGGAGAGGCGGGACCGGGGCGGGGAGCGAGGGGGAGCTCCCCGGCAGTGGGAGGGCAGCGGAGCGCCGGGGAGAGGCGCGGACGCTGAGGGAGCGCGGCTGCGGGAGGGACCGAGCGGAGGAGAAGTGCGGAACGGGCCCCCTGTCCCGCCGCCCCGGCCCCCTCAGCGCTCCCGGCGGTTACTCATCCCCCGCGCTCTCGCCGCCATTTTGAATCGATCCCGTCCCTTCCACGGGTTCCGCCGGCACCGGCTTCCCGCGGATCCGACCCAGCCCAGCCCGACCCAGCCCATCGTACTCACCGCCTTGTCACTGCTGTCGCCGGCGCACGACCGCGCACGATCTCCCGCTCAGCTCCCGCCTCACCGTCCGCTCCGCGCCTGAGGGACGGGCGGGGCCAACCGGCCCCGCCTCCCCCCGCCCGCCATCTTATTGTCAAACCCCACAAAGGGACCCGCGTCCGCCGGGGGCGGGCCTTCCCCGGAGACCGCGCCCACCACTGAGCAGTGGCGGCTGTTATTGGCTGCCGCCCCGCGCTGCAGGCGCCATTCGCCGCTACGATTGGCTACCGCGTCCGCCTGTCCCGCCCTCGGGCTTCGCCCCCGTAGGCTGTGGGGTTGCCATGGCAGCCGGGCCCTGCCCCTCGGCCGTGAGAGGCTGAGGGAGGCGGGGGCGGGGGCGAGGCGGGGCCGCCCCGATTTCAAATCGCAGCCAAGGGCCCGCGGTGCGTCTGGGCTCCCGGCCACGGGCTCCGGCGGGAACAGGTTCAGACCTGGCCGCGCTGCAGCCCGCGGGGAGCCCTGGCGGGGGAGAGGAGAGGAGAACGAGCGTTAGCCGCCCCGGTCCAGGCTCTCCCCGCTGTCAGGCGCCACTTCCCTCAGGGCCAGGGAGCCCCGGAGCTGCGCCCCGCGGGGTGACAGGAGGCCTCAGCACTCCATTAGCAAGGCCTGTGGCATTTCCTGTTCGGGCCCGGCCGCCAGCCCCGGGTCTCGCAGTCGGAGCTAGGAACCCGCGTGCTGGGGGCGGGGTGATGCCTCACAGCCCGCAGGGAGCGGCCGTCTGAGCACGAGTCAGCAGGGAGTGCCCAGATAGGCGAGAAGGCCGGGGGCATTCTGGCCTCTGTCAGGAATCGTGTGGCCACCAGGACCAGGGATCGTCCCCCTGTGCTGAGCACACCTGGAGTGCTGTGCCCAGTTGTGGGCCTCTCAGTTCGGGAAGGCTATTGCGGTGGCTGGAGTGTCAAAGAAGAGACCAGAGCTGGTGAAGGGTCTGGAGCACAAATTTTATGAGAAACAGCTGAGGCAGCTTATGGGTGTTTAGCCTGGAGAAGATGAGGCTCAGGGCGGACTTTATCACTCGACAATTTTTTGACAGGAGGGTGCAGCCAGCTGGGCTTCGGGCTCTGCTCCCAGGGAACGAGTGACAGTGCAAGAGAGAACATGGCCTTAAGCTGTGCTGTAGGGAGTTTAGGCTGCACATTAGGAAGAATTTCCACACAGAAAAGGTGATTAGGCACTGGAGTGGACTGCCCAGGGAGGTGGTGGAGTCACCATCCCTGGAGGTGCTGAAGGAAGACTGGACGTGGCACTTAGTGCCGTGGTCTAGTTGACAAGGTCCTGTTTGACAGGGCTCGATCTCAGAAGTCTTTTCCAACCTAACTCATTCTGTCCTAAAGCTGCCGCCGCCCTGCTGAGCGAAACCCCCTCCCCAAACCCTGCTGGCCGCCGTGACCCCAGCCCGATGCAGCTGCACATCTGCAAGCACTTAGGCCGCCGCAGCGTCTCTCGGTCGCTCTCCCGGCCGAGCCGCTACGTGCCGGCTGCTCCGGAGCAGCCCGGGGGAAGGAGGGGCGGCTGGCCCGGGCTGCCGAGCGCCGCACAGGCGGCGGCTGCTGCCTCCCGCCCCCGGGCGCGGCGAGACGGGGAGGGGAAGGAGCTGGAGAGAGGGTGGGATAGGCAGCCGGAGCTGGAGGATTGCGGCTGAGGTTCTGTAGGAAAGGCTGGGAAACAGCAGAGCTGGAGCGTCATACAGTAAAGCAGGAGGAAATATTTCCTTAGCACAACAAGATCTGCTTTTTGGGAGAAGACTGTGTCATCTCTTTTCACTTCTTCTGGCTCTTCTTTGTAGAAGTAGCCCCAAGTTAATTTGCAATTTCGTAGTTGCTTTCAGTTTGCTCAGAAATGTCAACTCTCTGCTGTGCATTCAGGCCTGCATAGGCCTGAAGCCTCTATGCAGTTTGGCCATCCCCCGACTGGGTGGGCTGTGTTCCCTTTTGTTCTGGCTGCTTGAAACATCCTTTACGTCAGAGACCATCACTGATCTGACCAGGAACACGGTATATCCTTTATTATTGTGGATTGCATTGTTGACCATGGTTGCCTTGGAAAATGTCATAATACTCATCTAAGAAGTTGTCTATAAGTATTCCCTTCTTGCAGCATTGCTCAACAGAGTGCATGCACTACCTGGATATATTTCCATAGCAGCACCTTTGGCATCACACAGATCTGAGTTTTTCATTAATAGCTTGGCTGATTTCTGCACTGTTACACCTCTGGTTTCAAACTCTAACACACAGTTCTCCAGGGTGGTTTTTCCATGATGGACATTTAAAATCCCCTTCACAACTTCATGTGACACTCACTTCAAACTGGAGGTCCTTTTACTGGATTCTGTACAGTCAAGAAAGATGTCTCCTTTCTTTTGTTTTACCACAACATAAAAGGCACAGCCTTTGAGTTCAACTGAATCAGCACTGCAGAACAGGCCCTCTAGAACTCAGTGACCAGGACAGATGATGGCTGTGTCTCCTTCATAACAGGCATTTCCAGCTGTCAGTGGATTATGGTGAAACTGTATTTCTAGGTCTTTACCACAATCAGCTACAAGCCCAGAATCACACCATGTTCTCTGATGTCAGAATGCAGCCTCAGTCAAGGCAAAGTAACACAAAGTAATCCAAGTTACCTTCCTCCCTGGTCCAGTCCTCCACATGAACTGGTGGAAGAGCCTGACGTGCTCTACAGCTTGTACTGTTTGGTAAAACTCTCCTGAGTCATTGTACACAACCCACAGCTCCCACACTGGTATCTGGTGTCCCTTAAGCTTCAAGGAGCTTCTGCTTTCAGAATTGAGTACTCCATACCAGCCACCCCAACAAGAATCTAAAACACATCTGTATGCCAGATCTCCTGCTGTCCACAGGTGCAAAGACTTTGTCCATACACTCAGCTGTGAACTGTGTCACCTCCAAAGTTTTGCAAAGTTAAGGAAGAGTTTTGACCCTGGGTTCTGAGCCAGAATTGGTTTCTTTCAGCTTGAGGTGGTGCCTCTGGAGAAGAATCCCAAACCAAGAAATTCCTGGGCCCTTATATCCCCACAGTCTGTGCACCTGATCTTCCTGCACCCAATGGTGGTTTATGGTCTGGAGTCTTCTAACGCCTCATGGAATTCTTTCTCCATGTCCACGTGGGCAAGCCGTAATTGTTCTTATCTCCCATCCTGGGGCCCTTCAAGATCTCAGCTCTTATCTGAAGATAGCCAGTCTTTCTCTGTTTACTCCCTTGCTTAGCTCTGCATGCTGACAAAGTTCACTTAAAGTTCCTTGACACACGTTTTGAGCAGGACCCACTCATGCTAAACTGTCAGCAAGTTACCATTAAACTTAACCCCAGACAATTAATTTCTAACATTGTAATCCCCAACATGCAGTCAGCCAAGATGTAATCCTGGTAATCTCTAAACTGCTTGTGAAACAAAAGACGGTCAGTGTGAAAAATATCTGGAAAAAGTACATTCCCGTTGGGCAGAGTCTTTCCCAAAGCAGTGCCCGGTTTGTCACGATGATGCCTTAGTCACTCCGGGAGCCATCACGCTCCTGGAGCAGACAGATCCAGGCTCTGCGCCTCGGCGGCTCCCGCAGGGCACCGCCTCCCACAGCTGGCGGCAGCAGGGCCCGACCCTCCTCCCGCGGCCCCCGGCAGCCCCTCCTCGGCAGGAATTCAAATAGGTATTCCCACAACAAATCCTGCAAGAACCTTGGAGCCTCCGTGGAGGCCCCTCTGGAGGCAGTGTGGGGGCTGTTCCCTGAAGGAGCACAGCTTGGAGACTTCATTTGCATTGCTCTTTCTAGTGATAGCATCATCTATGTAGAGTAAGGTACTAAAGTCCCCTCTCCTGATGCTTTTTTCTTTTTTTTCTGTATAGCTACAGTGAGAGGATCACAACATTTTTGTTTATGGTTTTTCCCCACAAATAACCTCTCCAGTGAAACTGGAGGATGTTTTATGGCTTAAGAACTACATAATCTAAGTTTCTGACTAAACCAGTGAAAGAAAAATTGTGAAAGATTCTCCATCTTCGTTAAAAATCTGAGAAACTAGTGATGTCTCCTCATTTGATTATAATCAGCAGAAAGCAACTCTCACATCTCACATATGTGAGAAACAAAACTTGAAAAGTCAAAATGGAAGAATCTGGACAGATCTTTGCAAAACAATGCAGCCTGAAGTATTTACTAGAGAGCTGGAAAGAGATGTCTGCAAAACTACCTGAAATGAAGAAAGTAACTGCATACAAAGAAAAGGAAAAAAGCGAGGGAATCACTGGCCAGGATTGTTAGTGAGAGGAATAGCAGATTTGTCTTTACGAACAAGCTGTGGGTATGCTGGTACATAAAACTAGCTCTGGAAAATAAAAGAACCAATGGGAAGGATTCCACTGATTGATGAATGGAAAAAGATATTTGCTTTTACAAGTAAACTTTAGGTTTGCTGATAAACGAAATTAGACATTGAGAGATGAAAGAAACAATGGGGAAGAAAAACCCCTAAATTCTGTAATAATTAAAAATTCAAAGGGAGGGTTATACATTAAAGGGAAATTTTTGGGGAATCTTCGGTGTCAGGTGTATCGGGGAGTCTGTACCTCTCAAGTACCTCAGCCAATGGGGAAAGAGAGAAGGGAAATGTGGCTGGGAAATTAGGTTAAAAATGATGCTGTGTCCTCCAAAAATTCGAGAGATCCTAGGGGAATGTCCCATGGCCTCTCCCTTTATTTGAATAAAGCCAGAAAGGACTCCTCTGTCTCCTTTTTGGACATAAACCTCTGGTGTTTGTGTGTTAATATTGCTAACATCAGGAGAGCTACTATTACTTCTAACACCAATCACTTATATTTTTCCCCACATAGTCCTACTACAATACATCTTGCACAGCTCTAATTCCTTAAAATATCTAGTCTTTTTACAAGACCATATTTTAAGACTTGTTGAAACTTGTTTGTAGTTCAATCTCTCTCAACAATATAATCTCTATTCTATAGCCTTCCTAAATCAACACACCTTATCTAAGTGTTTACAAATGTATAAGATTGTGTCAACTTTCTATCAGATTTTAAGAATTCTTG